GATGCTGGGTGAATAGGAAGCCAATGCCATCAATCACCATTATCTATTCTACAGTGTATGATTATGTTGCCATTGACTCCGCTGATGACATCGCCGTTTCAGATAACTTAAACTAATTATACGGTCTAATTGACCAGTTGGTCACTGCGCCACAACCGCCCTCGTCCTTTGGTGGCTCCTTACATCATGTGATCCCGCTCTGTCTCCGCCTGCCATCGCAACCGCTTTAGGCCACCAAGATTATCCCCGTTATTCTCTTGTTCCTCGAATGGTTCAGACTGACGTCGTGGTGGACTCGAATCTTTGGGGGATGTACACTGTGCTGACTTTACACCAACTCGCTTTGCCCATCTACCTTCATCGCCATTCATAGGTATCTCCCATCTACGCGCATACAAGTTCCGACTGCATACGCCCGCCTCCCAGCCAGCTATACCGAGCAATGGTGCCTCGGAGACACATTGGTTACCGCTCGGCGTGACATGACATTTTCTTGTCAACACAGGAGCCTCCGTATTGCTCCTTGTACATGATACAACCTCTTTGACTCCTTTCCGACTGTCTTTACCATGCCTTCTTCGTCCGACTACCTCCATCCACACGGTCGTGCCAGTATCGCGGGCGACTCTGGTTCCGACGACGACCTCGATTTGGAGGAACTTGATCCGAGCAGCACCCACTTATATGGATCTCCTCGCCGCTCTCGAGATGAATCGAATCGCCAACGGAGTCGCGGTCCCGGCATAGCTTTGCGGAATTTACGGGTTGGCATGGGAAATCGAGTATGGCGACGAAACGCTTCCGGAGCACATGGAGCATCGGAGGACACGGCGGGCCTGCTGGAGGAAGGGGAGGAGGAGGGACTCCGCAGGTCGCACGCGAGCTCCCGCAACTTCACCGATGACGATGCTCCTCTCCTCAATGAACGCCGGCGTAGCTCCGCTCGCTCGTTAGTGGATCTTGAACGGGTGTCGCAAAGGGGCTCGCGGTTTAGGATCCCGGGGATCAAGGCGGCCAGCTTTCTCTTTGGCTCCTCTAGCCGTACAACAAGATCCGATTCAGAACAGACCGAGACGAAGCCGCCGCGCGATGTCCTCGTCGGCCAGACGCAACGAACCAAGTATCCCGCGAATGTCGTATCGAACGCAAAGTACACCCCCTGGAGCTTCTTGCCCCGCACTTTGTATAACGAATTCTCCTTCTTCTTCAATATCTACTTTCTCCTCGTCGCCCTTTCACAGATCATTCCGGTCCTCCGAATAGGTTATATGTCATCTTACATTGCGCCTTTGGCCTTTGTTGTTAGTATATCACTTGGGAAGGAGGCGCTGGATGACATTGGCCGCCGTCGCAGAGATGCTGAGGCAAATGCTGAGGAATTCACTGTTCTAAGTTTCGATGGGCCTAATGGGGTGCTGGAGGTCGTCAAGAAGTCACGGGATCTGAGAGTTGGTGACGTTCTGAAGGTTCGCAAGAATCAGCGGTTGCCTGCAGATGTTGTGATTCTAAAGAGCATCTCAAACGACATTGTGACAGCTCGTCAAAGCTCCTTGGCGGAAAGACCGGCGGAGGTCCCTTCGCAAGAAGAAAGCTTACTATCCCCTACCACCCCGGAACCTAGCTCGAGCACTGCGACAAACGAAGCTAATGTCTCGTCGGCCAGTGACACATTCATACGGACTGATCAGTTGGATGGTGAAACTGACTGGAAGCTACGGTTGCCCTCTGTATTGTCGCAAACCCTGCCTCTTAGCGACCTTCCAAGGTTGAAGGTCACTGCAAGTGCACCCGATAGACGAGTCAATGAATTTGTCGGTACTATAGATCTGGGCCCACCTTCCGGGTTTTATGATCCTCATGTCGACAAAAGGGAAACTGGCGGAGACTATGAAACCTCGGACACCCAGGCCACCTCTGCTCCGTTAACGATCGACAACACCGCATGGGCCAACACTGTTCTTGCCTCCAACACCGTCACATACGCTACCATCATCTATACAGGATCCCAGACGAGGGCTGCTCTTTCAACCTCACCGTCTCGCTCGAAAGTTGGCTTGCTGGAGTACGAGATCAACAACCTAACCAAGATCCTTTGCGCTCTGACCCTGGCCTTGTCCATCGTTTTGGTTGCTCTAGAAGGCTTCCAACCGACAAATGACAAGGTGTGGTATGTTGCAATCATGATCTACTTGATTCTCTTCTCTACGATCATCCCCATGAGTTTGCGGGTCAACTTGGACATGGCGAAATCGGTATACGGGCGGTTCATCGAACGAGACAAGGATATACCGGGTACAGTAGTCAGGACCAGTACTATTCCTGAAGATCTGGGTAGAATTGAGTATCTCCTTTCCGACAAGACAGGGACTCTGACCCAAAACGGTGAGTTTTCTCCGATAGACCAATGACTCTGTTCGTTAGCTAATCTAAGCAGAGATGGAACTGAAGAAGATCCATGTTGGGACGGTCTCGTATGCCAACGATGCTATGGAAGAAGTGGCGTCCTATATCCGACAAAGTTTCGTTGGTGAATCGCTGACTACTCCTTCAACCGCATTCGGAGCCCAAGCTGGACTTGGGACGGCTCCGCGCACGAGAAGGGAGATTGGCTCCCGTGTCAGAGACATCATTCTGGCCCTTGCCCTTTGTCACAATGTCACCCCTACGACGGATGAAGAGGACGGTGTCAGAGTCACCAATTACCAGGCTTCCTCCCCAGATGAAATTGCGATTGTCAAATACACCGAAGACGTCGGGCTCAAATTGGCTTATCGCGACAGACAGTCTATAGTTCTTGAGTCTACACACACAGGGAAGGTTGTCGTTCGGGTCCGCATTCTTGAGATTTTCCCCTTCACTTCAGACAGTAAGCGGATGGGGATTATCGTGCAGTTTGAGACGGATGACGATATACTGGACTCGTCCAGGAATGACAGTGAAATATGGTTCTACCAAAAGGGTGCAGATACTGTCATGACAACAATTGTTGCGGCGAACGATTGGCTCGATGAGGAGACCGCTAACATGGCTCGCGAGGGCTTACGAACTCTAGTCGTAGGCCGACGACGGCTATCGCCGCAGCAATACGAAGAGTTCACCACCAAGTACAAGCAAGCCTCTCTCGCTCTGCAAGGACGCGATGTCGGCATGGCCAAGGTGATCAGCGAGTACCTGGAGCGAGACCTTGAACTTCTCGGCGTCACCGGTGTGGAAGACCGCCTCCAGCGGGATGTCAAGCCCTCTCTGGAGCTGCTTCGCAACGCTGGTGTCAAAATTTGGATGTTGACGGGTGACAAGGTCGAGACAGCACGCTGTGTAGCCATTTCCGCAAAGCTGGTCGCCCGTGGGCAGTACATCCATACGGTTGCCAAAGTCAAAGACAAGTCTACCGCTCAGGAAACCTTGGATTTTCTTCGCAACAAGACCGACTGCTGTCTCCTCATTGACGGCGAGTCTCTTTCCCTTATGCTAGGTCAGTTCCGGACAGCGTTCATCTCCGTCGCCGTCCTGCTCCCTGCGGTTGTTGCCTGTCGGTGCTCGCCAACTCAAAAGGCCGAAGTAGCGGATCTCATCCGCCAGCACACCAAAAAGCGTGTCTGCTGTATCGGCGACGGTGGAAACGACGTCTCCATGATCCAAGCCGCTGATGTCGGAATCGGCATTGTCGGTAAGGAGGGTCGTCAAGCCTCCCTGGCAGCCGACTTTAGCATCACACAATTCCACCATCTCACCAAACTCCTCGTCTGGCACGGCCGCAACTCCTACAAAAGATCCGCCAAACTCGCCCAATTCATCATGCACCGTGGTCTCATCATCAGCGCCTGCCAGACCATGTACAGCATCGCCAGCCACTTTGACCCCAAGGGTCTCTTCATCAACTGGCTGATGGTCGGCTACGCCACCGTCTACACCAACGCCCCCGTCTTCTCGCTCGTCTTCGACCGTGACGTCGACGAAGAACTCGCAAACCTCTACCCCGAACTTTACAAGGAGCTCAAAACCGGCCGCAGCCTCAGCTACCGCTCCTTCTTCACCTGGGTCCTGGTCTCCGTCTACCAAGGCGCCGTAATCCAGGGCCTCTCTCAAATCCTCCTCGACACCATCACCGGCCCCCGTCTCATCAGCGTCTCCTTCACCTCCCTCGTCATCAACGAGCTTCTCATGGTCGCCATCGCCATCACCACCTGGCACCCGATCATGATCTTCTGCATCATCGGCACGGCTCTCGTCTACGCCGCTAGCGTTCCCTTCCTGGGCAGCTACTTCGACCTGCACTACGTCATCACGGTAGACTGGCTGTGGCGCGTCTGTGCCGTCTGCGCCGTCTCCCTCATTCCAATCTGGGCAGGTAAATTGATCCTGCGGTCGTGGAGTCCGCCCAGTTATCGGAAGGTGCGGGGGTAGCTGTTCTTCATCTTATGCATGTCATACCTATCTTGCTTGAGGAGGGTGAAACCGCTATTGGTGGTATCCTTCTTGCCCTTCGCTCATCATGATATTTCGTCTCTTTGCTTTTTCTCCATCAAGCATATGCTATACACCTTGTATATCACCGAACCGAAAACTGGTTTGTTACTTACTCGCTCGTCTTGCTTGTTATCCATTGCGTGCACGGTATATAGACTTAGCGTTGTGAATTATATGCTTTTTGATTATTTTATATTACAGTAATAATTCCTGACTGGGAATCAAGAAGGGTGGGGCAAGTAAATATCTTATAGTTCGTATAAGTGCCGAATTGGTTTGGTTTCAAGCCACATGCCAAATTGAGTTCAAGACCTTGAATTAAGTTGGGAGGGAGGCTGGACGTTGATTACGTTATGTCTCCCCTTTAAGCTCGTGGCTGCAAAAATAATTACATTTAGTATCAGCAATGAGCACAGAATATGCATGTAGTATGTAGTAGGTAAATACTGCAGGTAGAGATGTAGATGTATGTGGCAGAGTGGGTATGGGTATTATTGACGTTGGAAAAAGCAAATGGTACTAAGTAGTAGTTACATCAGACATGAATTAGAGCATATAGAGTCCTCATAAACCCGTAAGTAAATAAAAAAAAAGCGGGGAGATACCCAATTTTTCGTTTCTTTTTTCTGTTTTTCTTCTTGTTTCATCATCTTCAGATCATCCTAAATTCATAAACATATACATCATCCACATTGACCAAAAACGATACATGGGTCAGAATACTCCCAACCCATGAATCAATCAATCAGTCCTCCTTCGGCGGCGGCGAAAACACCTTCTTGAAGCGCAAGTGGAACAAATCATCAATGACCTCGCCCGTACTCTTCAGATTCTCTTTGACAATAGCAGAAGTGGGACGGGAGAAAAGCTCATCGATTTCCTCGAGGGACTTGTTCTTGGTCTCAGGCATGAAAATGATCTGGTAGAACCAGCCAATGAAGGCAATTCCACCATAGAAACCCAGAGTCAGACCGATCCGGCTCATGGCCTTCATCATGCGGGTGAAGTTGTAGGTGACGATGAAGGAGCAGAGGAAGAGGTTGGCGTCGGCGGTGGTCATGCCGTAACTGCGCAAATAAGTGGGGAAGACTTCGGCGGGCACGACCCAGGTGAGACAGGCGTAGGAGCCGAAGAAGGCCTGGTAGAGGATAATGCCGGTGAGGTAGACGCCCTGGGCGGCTTTGGGGTGGGTCTGGTAGTTGATCTGGTAGCCGATGCCCACCAGCACTAAGCCGATGAAAAACCCGGGGAGCATCGCATTGGCCCAGTAGCGGCGGCCAAACCGTTCCATGTACAGCACCGCCGGGATGGTGCCGATCAGGAGGGAGCCACCACCAACCAAAGACATGAAGACGCTGTCACGCTCGTCGAAGCCGATGGCACCCATCAGTGTGCTCATGTAGTACATGATGGCGTTGACACCGGTGAATTGGCCCAGGAAGACCATGATGTTGGCGTAGACCATGGCGCGACGGGCGCGCGGCACCGTGATGAAGTCCATCCAGGCGTACTTCTTGGTAGCGGCTTGTTCTTCGCGCTCGGCATCCACCGCCTGGCGCATGCCCAGGAACTCGTCCTTGGCGTCGTAGTCGTTGAAGCCGCGGATTCGCTTCCACACGCCGTAGGCTTCCACGGCCCGGCCCTTGTGCATGAGGTAACGCGGACTCTCCGGCAGGAAAAGCATACCCACCAGCAGAATGGTCGAGAACACCAGGGAAGATCCCAGGATGTAACGCCAGTTACCCTTGACATCGAGGAAGATGGCGGCCACGGCATAGCCCAGGACTTCACCGAGAGCGATGTTCAATTGGTACAGTGAGACGAGGTTACCACGCATCTTGCGGGGCACTGAAGTGACGTTAGTCGATACATTGGACGTTGACGATGATGATGTGTAAAAGGAAGTAAGGGGTAAAAGTACATACCAGACTCGGCGACATACACAGGGACTGTACCACCTTCCAGACCCACACCCATACCAAGCACGAAACGTCCAGCAAAGATCATACCGAAGCTGATGGCACCGGCCTCCAAGGCGGCACCGATAGTATACAGGATGCAGGAGACGATGATGGCCATGCGACGACCCAGGTACTCGTTGGCGGGGGAGAGGATCAGGGCACCGGCCACGGCACCCAGAGGCATACCAGCATCCACAAGACTACTTTGGTTGTCGGTGAGGTTCAATGCATCGGGCAGATAGATGTTGGCACCACTGATGAGGGACTGATCCAGACCGGAGAGCAGACCACCCATGGAGGCAAAGGCCACTAGGACGTAGGTATACACAGATGGATTGGAGAAGCCCACGAACCAACCGGGCTTCCTCTCCTGCAGCTGCTCTTCGAGTTGCAACAACTCTGCATCCATGGCAGCTTCGTTGAATTCCTCGATGGCCTTGGGGTCCTTGAGGACATCGTCCATCTCCAACGCGGTTCCCTCCTTGTGGTCATCATGGGAGGTGTCCAGGTCGTGTACGACACCCATGATTGGAAATGGAAAGTGCGGTGTGACAGCCGCTTGTGATATTAAAGGGAGATTTTTATGATATGTACAAGGGAGGTACAATCGGTGGGGGGGTGGGGAGAAGGAGTATAGGTTTTGTTCACTCTCTTTGCGGGTGTGAGAGAGGGTGAGATATAGAGAGAGAGAGAGAAGATGCCTCCCACGACCGGGGCAAGGATCTTCTGTATAGGAAGAGAGATAAGGTGGGGATAGAGACACACGCAGAAAGAAGACGAGAAAAGAGGTAGAAGTATCTAGGGAATGCCAGAAGGGGGGTGGTATTTAAAGGGCACACATATCGGCCCATGGGCCTCCTCCTCGTCCAACTACAACTACGACTGAGACTGAGTACTACCTCATCATTCCCCAAAAGCGTCATCGGCGTAAGAGGAGAGGATAAAAAAGGAAAAATTCAGAAAAAAAAAAAAAAAGAAGGACCCATCATGAGGACCGGGTTCGACTCGTTAGTATCGGGCCGTGGAACCAGTCAAGGAAGCCGACCACGCGAGGGCCAGCCGGGGGAGGGAGACAAGAAAAGGAAAAGATGCAGAAGTGGGGAACCGCATGATGGGCAGCAATCAAGCCTTCGAAAAGATGTCTGACCATTACGCATCGAACCGAGAGAAATGGAGTGGAATAAGTGGAATGGAAAGGAATGTCGCGATGCTGATTCTTCCCCAGAACAGAAGCGGAGGAGACAATTTCCCCGTGGGCAGCTCCCATTACCTAAGCCGGTGGATTCTCGGCGATACTCTGACCAGTCACGGTTCATTGAAAAATACCACGATACGCTTATTCCGGTTAGCCTCGTGGGGTAGGTTAGTTTTTGTTGCGCCATTTTTCTTTTCTTTTCTGTTCTGGCTTTCTCTTTTCGGGGCCCCGTGACTCTTCCGCTACTCCATACTGCATCTCCTTAGCGTAGAATTCCCCATAATCTCTTGACTGGTCTCGCTATCTTCCTCCGATTTCTTCCTTTGGCCTCCCCAAAGCTTTTCTTCCCCGTTCCCCGTTCACTCTCCACAAGCCCGAGCCCCTCATTCGCTGAACCCTCCTGCTGCCCCCCCTCTCTGACACTAGTTTAACTTCTTGCTGGGCGTGACACACTGACAACACGCGCACCGGGCTGAAGCGAAAGGGCAAAAAGGTAAGAGGAAGAAAAAGTCAAAAGCATGGCCTGGATGCGTTCCCCACTTCTATGCCCCCGGAAAAAAGGCCTTCCTGGCCAAGGGAAGAACGTTTACGCCCAGCCTTTTCTTACCTCACTCAAGCAATGCCATCAAGCAACAAGCAATTCGATGGACAGCCAAGACGGCACGGGAGGATGGAAACATGGTTTACAAACCAAGGGGAAAAGCTTGCCGATAATACAAGATCTAGGTTTCTATATTAGGATCTCTCATCTCGAGAGGATAAAGGTAGGTAGGTACACGAAGGCTCAACCAGAGAAACAGAGAGGAACACACAGAGTCCCCCGTCTCATGACGACGAAACCATGAAAATGTCCAACCCACTAAGGTAGATTAGCTTCTCTTCTTCCTCTCATTATTCCCTCTTCTCCTTCTTCAACTTCATCCCACTTTGCCGCCTTTTTGCCCTCCCGCGGACACCATCCGAGTTACCACAAGACTAGACACTAACCAGCAGTCCCCATCTTGCAATAAGCCCCTGCAGCCACTAATTCCTTCTCCTTGCCCCTTCGTTTTCCCCCACACACACGCACACCACCCCCAGCCCAAGGTAGGTGATGGAGTACAGTAAATTAGCCTAAACGTAACAAGAAACTAAAACGAAAAAAGGAAAAAAAAAGAAAAATTTCCTGCCCGATCATTTATCGTCTTCCCGGCATGCCTACCGGTTTTCGTGCGCTAGGATCCGCTCCCCCTCCAACATATGGCGAACCCGGCCGACTAGTCGAACTGCCCGGATTCTGCCCGGGACTGGGAGACCGGCCCCCATGTAATCTGGCTCGCAGTCTCTCCTGAGCCGACGCCGCTCGCTCTAGCCCTCCTCCTGTGACTGGTCCCGAGATCGTCTGATACGACCCGGCTCGCTGGCTAGGCAGCGGTCTCGCTGACCCGGTCGGCACACCTGCACCTGGTGACGGACTGTGCGGTGATGCAATCATCCCCGACGGTGCGCTGGCCGTGGCGGCTAGAGGCGCCCCCATACTTCCACCACTACCGCCGCCGGGTGCCAACCGACCTCGACGCAGACTGGCCGTCTGCGAGGCCGGAGCCGTCGCTGAACCCGAATCTCCCCACAAGTCTCCCAATCCGCCGCCTCCGCTGCGTCCATACGCCGATGCTGCTGGGCCGCCACCGGCCGCTGCTCCGGCCTGCACTTGCGTCGTCGCGATGACCCGTGCCGGCGCTGGCGTTGGCGCTTTCGGGTCCGGGGGAAGCCAGCCCGGGAAGGGCCGTCCTTTCTCCGTGTAGTAGGCGCGCAGCACGTTGGAAATGTGAGAGCAGTCTTCGTTGTCGGGGTCGTCGGCTTCGTCGCCTAGGGTGATGGCTCGGCGGAGGGAGGTGAGCCGCGTGCCCAGGTTCGAGATGGCGGAGGATGAGGTCAGGGATGAGAACATGATGGTTGGTGGTTCTCCTTCTTCTTCGTCTTCGTCTTCTTCTTGTTGTTTGTTTTATGCAGGTCCCCTTGACTAGTCCGGCGTGGAAGGGAAGATGGGGTTGCTCAAAAGGAGGTGAGTTGCTTAGGTGGGGTCGGCGTCAGGACACGAGGAGAGGCTGATGCTGGTCCGCGGGGCGAAACAAGAGCCGAGAAATTAAGCTGCAGCGGTGAGGAATTAAGGTGCTATTGAACACGGTATCTTGAACCGACCAGCGTGTAGAAGGGTGATCAGGAGGTATTGGTACAACCCCTTAGGGGAGGTTTGACATTGATTGATTGATTGACCTCACGGCTCTTGTTGGCGATCCACTCCGTTTCATCCCGCCGCTGCACGTGAGCTGCTCCAGTCGGTTTTTTGTTCCTCCCATCTGACACAGCCAACTGGTGGATCTTGTCTCAACATTCGTAACCTAGTTTATAACCTCCATGTAGTTGCGATGTACATAGTCTTATATCGCAGACCAGAACATTGGTGAACAATAAATTCATATATGCAATGGCGGGGTATGTATGCCCGATCGCAGCAGAGCAATAATAATAACAGACACAAAACAAATCTAAACCAGACAACGCCATACAGTACACGAAAGCAGCAGCAGCAGCAGCAGCAGCAGCAACATCAACAGAAACCCGTGCTTTTATGTTCAATGTCTCATCCCCTTCAAGCCAGGATGCTCTCCTTGCCAGCACCCTCAGTCTCATACTCGATCTCAACACGGGGGCCCTTCTTCCTCGGCTTAATCTGGGGAGCAGGACGCTTCCGCTTGAAGCCAGGCGCAGGCTTCTTCGCTTCCTCATCAGAGTGGTTGCTGTCATCCTCATCCTCATCACTGTCCTCATCCTCATCACTCTCATCATCATAATCGTCACTCGAGTCGCCAGACCCCTCACCAATCCAATCCTCGATATCCTCCAAATCCTCTTCATCCTCATCAATATCACTAACATACTCAACCTGACCAACACCCTCCTCTTCCTCCTCCTCATCCTCAAACTCAATCTCCTCCCCATCATCCAGATCCTCATCCCTCTCACCCTCTCCGCTCCTCTCCAACCCACGCAACACCTTCTTCCAAATGCCCTCCTCAACATTCAACGGCCGATCTCCATAAGCACCACTCCTCAACCGCTCAATCAGCTCCCTCTCAATTGCCCTCTCAATCTTCGCCGCACTCTCTGCCTTGCGTTCCCTGGCCTCCTCTCTCCGCCGAATCTTCGGCGCCAACTTCGTCACCACCTTCTCACCCAGCCTCTCATCTTCCTTAGCCAACTTCTTCATCCGAATCGCAACCTGCGTCAGCCGCGTCAGACGCTGCTTGCACTTGTGCACCAAGAACTTCGGCCAGTAGATCAGCCGCTCGTCCAACTGCTCCAGCGCCTTCGCGTAGTTCGACGACAGTCGTATCCGCTCCCACCATTTGCTGGGCATGTGCGCCCGTTCCACCGTCTTCATGTACAGGTACATCGCGCCTGTTTCGGGGTCCGACCGGATCGTGGCATACCGCGAGTTGGCGAGCGGGCACGATTGCCGGTTGCAGAGTCCGCTAACGTTGTATTCATTTCGGCAGAAGTTTTGGTTCTTAGTGGTTCTTTTCAAAAACAAATAATGGTTAGCTTTTTATTTATATACTTGTGGATTATATTCTCTCTCTTCTTTGTCGGTTCTTGTTGTGTTGTATGTATGTGGTAGGCGGAAATTTTTTTTATGCGCGGATAGAGATCGAGATAGAAACTTACTTGAGCTTATAGGCGCAGAATTGCTGGTTGATAACCTGCCAAACAATCTCGTCGGACGACATCTTGCCAAATACTTCTCGCGGTGGATTGATGTATCCCCGCTACGATTCAACCTGGTTTTGCTGGGGAGAAAAGGGAAGAGGGAGGTGCTGCTTGGCCGTCAAGGTGATGATTTCTGCCGCAGAAAAAAAGTTGCCGCAGTGATTGGTCACGTGGGGTCCACTGGGTTGCTTATCGATAAGGATGGTCCGTCCATCCATTCAAAACATTTCGAATGCTAAGATGGATTTCCAATATCAGGGCGATGTACAAAGAGAGTGTTTTGCATTGGGGTATTGTTCATTCATAACATAGCGTTAACATCTATCGTATGTACCAAGTCTCCTAATTTCGTAGGTTGTGGTGATAGGATTACCATCCTTCCATTTGCAGTGGAGCTCCGTCCCATTCGGTCCCCGTCCCGTTCATCAAAGGCCCGCCCATTTCAGCGTCCTCGCTGCCTCCGAAGGACTCCTCGCCTGCCATACCCCATCCCATTGCCTCGAGCTCCCGCACGAAGAAATCTCGCTCTTCTTCCATCATGGATGCGCCTTCTTCGCCTCCCATCACGTCCTTGTACCGGCGCAGGTGCCACCAGTGCGTCAGTCCGCGCAGTGCCTGTTCCAGTGGCAGCGCTTCTTCCACCTCCGAGTCAATGTCTCCGCCAGATAGCCAGTCGTCGCGGAGCTCCGGTCGGCAGTACAGGTAGATCGCCGTGATCACCCGCATGTTACTCTGGCGCCATTTGCGTCCACAGTATGGCACCTGCGATTTGAAGAGCTTGAGGGTATAGAACCGTAGGTGGGGGTCGGGGATCTTAAGCCCCTTGCGAAGGATAGTGCTCGACTTGTATTGCACCAGGAGAAGGCATCGATGGGCTTTGTCGCGAGTGATCTTCTGCATGATGTGGAGGTAATTGATCGCCGAAAAGAAGTTGCGGAATGAGAACACAGTAATCGGCTCTTTAGGTGGGGGTGCTGTAGGATATCCTAGCTCGTCAACTTCGGGACGATGAGGCCCTTCCATGAATTCAGGAACATGTACTTCGGGCGAAACGCCGCGTACTGAATTGCCTGTGTCCTGGCGATGTCGGGTGATGGGCGGAGGGACAGCCTCGTCGTCACTAGGCGAGGAGTCTTCGTCCAGGTCGGTTGTCGATTCCGGCGGCTGGTTCGAGTGTAGATGGCAGAATCGGAAAAATCTTATTTTCGTCAGTACATCTAAGCGGCTATATCACGAAAGAGCACCTACCCCAATTCCTCGCGATCGTTCTTCTGCGCTACTGCCTGGTCCACATCCTGGTGGGCAAACATCTTCAAAATCAAAGGCAGGTAGTTGGAGTCGAGTAGCAACTGCGTCATATACTCAAATTTCAGAATATCTAGGGCTTATCAGTACTTCCTTCCCAACACATTCAGGCCGGGGTAGCTTACGAGATCTCTTGAACCACTTGACAAGCAGTAGCAGAGAGCCAGAAATCGCTTTGCCGGTGATTTCCCGGAGCCGGATATTGTCGAGCTCGTCGATGGCAGCCTCGGAATTGAGATCAATATGCCCGTTGGCATGATTGGCTGGGAACCCATTGATCACCGATCCATAACCATCACTGGGAATGAGGCATCAGTAAACGCTAGACAATGGCAATTACAGGTGTATCACATACCCCATGGCCTGCGCAGCTTGTCCGTTGGCCTGGCTCACCATGGCGCTGACGTTCGTCAGAATTATCTTCAGAAAGACAATCGTTATAGACTGTAGATGCACTAGTGCTTGTCTCTGCGAGCCGTAAGTAAATGTTCCGTCACCTAGGGCGCCACGCAAACTCACATAGAACGATTCAACGGCATCCAGGCGTCGCTGGATGTCCGCATTGTCCGTTTCCTCCTCCGGTGAGCTGTCAGTACTCGGTCTTTTCTCGGAGACATTCAAATCCTGCAGCTCATCTGCCAGTCCACCAACGGCGTTCTCGTTCAAAAGAGGCTGGCTTTCATCAGGATACCAGCCGCGGTCGTATTTCATAAAACGCTCTCGCTCTTCCCACAGTTGTCGCATTGCCCTTGTCATCTTGACATGTGTTGAGAACAGCCTCCCAGCCTCGATGATGGATGCCGGAACATCACTACCCTGCCACTTCTTCCCCACAAGATTATCTTGCAGCTCTGTAGTGCCCTTGCCTCCAAGGTCGTTACTCGAATCGTCTAGAGGAGGGTACATGAAAGGAAAGTTTTGGTTTGTCTGGTAGTTTTGCTTCTTTCCCGCTTTTCCTCCTGGTCCAATGGGTGACGGTGGGGGAGAGGGTGCTGGGGTAGCGATGTGAACCGGGTGATGGATGATTGAACCACTACCACCACCCGCCACGGAAGGGCCAACCCCAGAGAAGGGGCCCGCAGAAGAGCTCATCCTGCTGGGATGTTGCGGGAGCGGTGGAAGAATCGAATTATTTTCTAGCTCTAGGGGGACCACGGGAGGTGGCGGGTTATATGCAGGATACTTGGACGTGATCTCCTGTCGAAAAGTGTGGTAATCCAGAGGTGAGGCAGTGAGGAAAGGTGTCCTTCTATTGGAGGTGTTTTTCCTTGCCTCGAGGGACGGCTCTAGTGCTTCCTTGGCCTCCTTCAATTTGTTACTGCCTCCGAAGAAAAGAAGCAAAGACTTCCAAAACAGAAGAATGACTCTGGTCAGCGGAACATTGGCAGAGTCGTCCCAACGCAACCGCGCAATGATCTCCACCAGAAATACAAGTAAATTTGGCTCCAGACTCATAAGAGTCTCTCTTAGAGGGGCATTCTGGGGATCAAGAGCATCTTGCGTGCGGCCAACCTCCACAGACAAATAGAAAGCCGTCAACACCAGGTTTGCTTCTCTCTCCAAAGCAGCAACATATGCAGGGTTGGCGCCCTCTTGCCCAGCACTGTCCGCGTCCAGTGCGGTTGAACTGCGATGCCTCTCAAAGACACAGCACAGGCAGTTCATCAGTGGCTGGAAACCCGAGCATTCTTGAAGCAGGGAAACATTCTGCTCAATCCATTTGATCTGGAGTGACCGGCTCTCGGGAGCCTCTGCACCTGGCTGAGGACGGCCCTCCGGGAGCTCATCCACAACTCGACCGGCCGTCAGGCCCCAGACACCAGTCAAAGCATAGCATATGGCCTCCAAGGCCTCAATTCGGACAAGAACCGCACGGTCACCTAAGTTATTAATAAGCTGGTTCATAAAGGTCTTTCGTAATTCATAAGAAGCGGTAATCCAGGACTGCGGGACATTATCCATAGACTGGTCTTCGCAGAAACAATTCCATCTATGTTCAAATGATGACTTCATGCCAATGAGCATGACTCTGTCGAACTCGCTGTACTGGAACCATTCCTCGACTTCCTCGGCGAATGGTTGGGAGTCGGCATACTCGAAAGCATACGCAGGCTGCTCAACCTTGGGCATCTCCTGGACCAGCTGCTTTAGCTGAGCGAGACTCAATGAATCAGATGGTCTTTCCACATTCTGCTGAACCGGTGCTGGAGGCGGTGGCTGTAGAGGGGGTGGTGGGGCAGCAGCATCCCGACGCAGCTCCGGGCGTTTTGGTGCTCTGTGAATCTCTACTGGTGCTTCATTAGGCGCAGTAGATACGTTCTGCTGTGACTGCTCCTGACGTAATCCCTCAGCTACCTCCTCCATCAACTGGTCATCGGAAACGGTACTGATATCCGTTCCAGTCTGGTCGACTTCGTCTGCTTTGACGAAATGATGCTCCTGCATGGCACTTTCCGCAGGCTCCGATGCATCATCCATGTTTGTGTAAATATGAGACAATAAAATTCTAGAGATGAAGGGATCATAAAAAAAAATTATGAAGGATGTTCAGAAACAAAATCGAGGGTATCAATTGGAAGTGAACAGGGGGTGAGCCCGGAAGAAGTTAAAAGAGAAAGTTAAAATCCAATCGACAAAGCGTGGCGGGAGAGAGAAGGTCAGAGATCAACCAACATGGTTATTTACTCAAGAAAAGGACACATGGTGTCTTTTATGGCGGTTCTGAGGCAGCTCTCTCCGCTGTCTTTGTGAATAGACGATGACCACGCGAGGAGTTTCGGGGAAGCCGTCGATCCGCGGGAGCTGGTGGTCACGTGCGAGGAACGCCCCTCGAAGTGGATCTTCCTTCCATAGTAGAGACCAAGGAGATCAAGGGGGAAATCTCAAGAAGATCTGCTAAAACAATTGAAAGCCAATTTCATGAACATAGGAGATCCAGACGTTAATCTATTGCTCCAACCCTTTCTAGCTCTATCCAAGGTCACATTCCCAAGCACTTAGTACTCTTACTACTACTCCGACAGTACTGCTGGCAGTTCTAGTAGTCCCCGTCTTGTTGCAATATATATCCTCAGGCGAAGCTGCATGTTCCAATCGGTAGTACCACCAGAACATTTATATTACTAAAATCTTCATCTTCAACAAAGCAATTAAGGAAGGACTAATCGCCAAGTTTACCTCATACTCGTAGATAAATGAAGCCTATCATAGTAGGCAAATCTGTAACTCCAGCCAGGATCGAACCAAGCCGAGGGACTTTCACTTCCCAGGCCTTGTATGCATTTATCAATCATAGGCAGTGAAATCTATGGGTATCACAGAGGACGGCGGATATACGAGCTTGCGCTTCAATGTCATCGAATCGCACTATTCGGTTTTCGACGATGCCTGACCTCCGGCCCCCTTCCGCTTCAGTTTTTGCTTGGCCTCCCAGCGTTGCCATCCGGCCTCGGCGAGATCTTCGTTCACAACCAAATCTCTCACACGAAAGAATTGAACAACCTCCAGATTCAAAACCCAATCAATCCATCCCTGTGACCTGAGTAGCCCGGTGATGAAGAACCAAGCGAACGCACAGATCATACCTGCGCCACACCCGGCCAGGACCTGCTTGGGGGTGTGGTAATTCAGGTAAATGCGGCTAACGGCTACTGCACCAGCACCGAGACACAGCACCAAGGAAATCAATACTCGCATCCAGAAGTGAAGGGCCGCACCCGACTGCGATAAGCTCGGGCTGTGTCGGTAGATGAGGAAGAGTGATGCATAGACGGCGAGATAGGCCATGAACTGGGCATGAGAAGATGGCATGCCATAGCCTTTACCCAGCATTTCTTTAGAGAGTCGTTAGCTCCATCCATTTCGTGTCGGAAAGCAAAACATCTGCAAAGAAATACCTACGTTTTGGCCTCTCCTCTTTGACGATGCGCTTGAGCACAAAATTCAGTGCCTCGCAACCCATCTGACCCGCAAACATCAAGACTACCTCAGCTTCTCTTGAAGCCCAGATCAGGGTAGCATAGCTCACGCATAGCGCTTGTGGCACTAAGGCAAGCCAGGCAGAAAGAAAGGAAATTGGATCATTGGGGTCCTATTTCCGTTTGATAGTCTTGGTCAGCGACGGTCCGGCGTTGAGATCCGGGCTACTTTGACTATTCAGGAGCATTGGCAAAGGAGACTTACGTAGTGGACATGAGTCAAAGACAAGGATGCCAATGGTATATCAGCCATTTTGTGGAACTCGGGGTCAAGTTCAAAAACAATGATTGAGTGATGTTTCTCTTTATATAGTCTTGCTGGGAGCTAGCAGATGGCGGGTGGACAAGGAACCAGAAGCTACCCAGAATTACAATACCAGCTGGCAGAACGGGCTAAACCGAATCAGAAAGACTGGCACACAGACATAACGGGTGAGAGATCTATTCGGGGTAGACAGATGTTGAAATTCTAGGATGGTCCTGCAGGTTGATCGGGTTGAACTTCTTTCTAGAATTAGGATGGCAGACGTCTGATTGTGACCAGTCTAGGCGATATCATCATCCTTCCCAGGAGAGAAGGTCACGAGTCCCTGCGGATGGTGGCATCGCCGCTTTTTGAGTCGCAGTCCCGACACCGCCTTGGGGGAACATGGCAGAACTAAAAGCGGCGAGAGGAATGAGGGGGAGGGGAAGATCGGGGTTGGCCTCAGGCTGACAAGGCTGTCGAGTCACCAAAAAAATAACGAACAATCGAGAACATTTCATTTCGTTTCATTCCATTTTCATTAATTTTCCATCATTTTCACATTGGAAAATGATGACCAAACTGGGCAGCAAATCCCGTGCTTGATGCCCATCCCATCTTTTTTTCCCACACACAAACATGTCTTTCCCTTCTTCTCCTGTTCGGTCCCAGCCAGCTCTTTAGTGTTTGCAACCATCTTCTTCCATCTTGTTCAACTACTGCTGCTGCTGCGCTGCTGCTAATCCTCTCTTATCTATCTCGGGTCATCAAATCATGACGCACTTCCCCCCAAAGCCTCGTTCTGATTGCCTCACCTCCTGTATATCTGTACTACAAACCACTACTAGAATAGACACTGCTGCTTCCTGTCTCCTTCAGTCTCGCCCGACCCTTCTCCCCTCCTGTGTTCGTCTATCGGCTCCACTGCCTCCATGACTATTGCCTGGTCCGCAACTATCGGCCGTACCTGAAAGGTGCACCCTCCCTCCGGATCTCCGCCACCGAACTTCCTGATTGATAAAACTATCCCCTCTGGCTAGATGCTGATCCATGGACTAGTTATTCTTAATTCTTTGCCCTTAACCACCTCTCCCTCACCGCCCTTAACCTCTCTTTTCACTTCGATTGCCTCCCCAGAGGAATGAATACAATAGAGAGATCGGAACAGTGACACTACCCGGGGTATACTGCGGCCATACCGTTTCGGCCTCGCTTCGCCGCAAGGCCTTCCTTGCCACCCAACACGTCTTGCTATTTGCGTCGATCAACTGGGAAATTTCAAGGCTATTTATTCACTCCTTACACTGCGGCGGCTTGCGTCCACCATGACAGAGTTGGACTCGCTTCCAGAAGATGAGCGCTCGGTGGAGTTATCATCCATTGCTGCCATCTACCCCGAGATCAAGATAGATCCGTCCTCGCCATTCAAAGCATCCCTCACCCTACCGGTTAAACCATCTGTTCCCCTGCGTGTCTGCTTCCAGCAACAATCCGAGACAGAGTTCCCCGCCGTCCTAACTCCTCCCACGTCGGTTGATGCCAACGATCCTGGCTTTCCTTTTAAGACAGGTGACCATAACTCCGCTAGCCTCAATCGCGATAGTCATACACTCTCACATCTTCCTCCCATCTGCCTCGAAATCGAGCTGCCCCAAGGTTACCCTTCCGAAGAAGCGCCCATTTTCAGGCTTGAAACAAACCCTCCGTGGTTGCCACCTTCTATATTGTCAGGTCTTTTGGATGACGGAAAACGTCTTTGGGAGGAATGTGGCAAGGACCTCGTGGTATACACATATATTGACCATCTTCAGCAACTTGGGGAGTCAGCTTTTGGGGTTGGTGACATATCCGGTGGCGAAGTTCAACTTCCCCGTGAGTTAAAGATCGCATTGCTAGACTTCAACAACAAAGCCGAACGGGAAAGGTTCGAGGAGGAGACCTTTGAGTGTGGAGTCTGTCTCGAACCCAAGAAGGGCACGATTTGCCACCGACTCGTACTTTGTGGGCATGTCTTCTGCGTGCCATGTCTCCAAGACTTCTACAACTCTTGTATAACGGAAGGCGACGTCGAAGGTGTCAAGTGTTTGGCTCCTGGTTGTGGTAAAGAATCAAACGGTGCCTCTCCCACCGACGCCCGTCCGAAGAAACGCAAAAAGCAAGATCGAACCCTGAGCCCCAGCGAGCTTCTCCAGATCCCGTTAGAACAAGAGACAGTGCAGCGTTACGTTTTTCTGAAACGGAAGAAGAAGCTCGAGGCGGACAAGTCGACTGTGTATTGCCCACGGCAGTGGTGTCAAGGAGCCGCACGATCCAAGAGACACCCCAAGCCTGTTGATCCAATGACAGATGACCTCGATGACGAAGATGACGAAGATGAAGAGGGACCCGTGTTCGATCCCCTAGGGGAGGAGGCTCAGCTGCCACCAATGTCCGAGCGTGTCGCCATCTGCGAAGATTGCAACTATGCCTTCTGTTGTGTTTGCAAGAAGGGCTGGCATGGCGAACTCGTACGGTGCTTCCCTCGCCGCGAAGCAGAGCTTTCGGCCGAGGAGAAAGCAACGGAAGAGTATCTGCGTATGTACACCTCGGCATGTCCGACATGCGATGCTCCATGCCAGAAGCAAATGGGTTGCAACCATATGATATGTTTCAAATGCGACACCCACTTCTGCTATCTCTGCTCTAGTTGGCTCTGCGAAGACAACCCTTACCGCCATTTCAACGACATCAACAGTGGATGTTTCAATCGACTGTGGGATCTGGAAGGTGGCGATGGGATCAATCCCGATGGAGCCGCAGCCTTGCATCGTGTACCCGACGAACTGCTGGACTTCGACGATGGCAGCGATGACGAGGACCTCGTTGCTTGGGAACTCGGCAGACGACCTCCACCTCCTGCTCCGGTCCCTCCAAGAGTCAACAACGGCGCAGCCGGAGGTAATCGCCATCGTGGGAACAACGCCAATGATCTCGACGCCGCAGGTCGAGCAGCCGCAGCTGAAAGACAAGCTCAAGCACGAGCAATGGCCGAGGTCCGCCGTCGTCCAGATGGCGAGCCTCCCCGAGTCAGACGCCCGGGACTCCAGAGGTTTCTGGACCTGGTCCTGAATGACCGGGAAGACGAATGGGACAGTGACGAGCTAGATGATGATTTCTAGCAATGGCCCCATCACTTCCACGGATCTAAATATATTGGAACCTCCTACCACACCTCACCCCCCTTTTGGTATCTATACTTGTTTCTTCATGGATATACCGTATCACGACACGACTCATGTACGTTTTGCGAAGCTTGCCATTCATCTCTAACTATGACCTTGACGACTATGACTATGCATGCATCTTGCATTAGCGAAAATGTTCATTGGTTTTGGACATATTCCTTTTTTTTTTCTCTTTGCATCACACTGCATCCAACATCCAAAGTTCAAATTAAGCCATGTTGATCTTCTTTGGCATGTATATCATGATATGTTTTTCTGTTTCAAAAAGAAAGCAACGTCTATTTAATACTCGCTTTTCCATTTTCTTCCCGATCGAAACCTTGCATTTCGATTACAAAATAGGGTAAAGTAAACCATACATCCGTATAAACAACACATATCGGAGTCAAAAGTATGTCCATTGAGACCACGGAAATAGAAAAGGTGAGGGGCCTCAGATCCCGAAATAAGAGAAACTAAATAACAGAGAGAAATAAGAGCGATCGAGTAACCCAGTCTTAGAAAGAGACCCTAGCACCTTGGAACGAACTTCTTGGTTTGGAATCCACGGTCAAAGCGCTGTGCTTAAAAGTTTCAGTGACAACAACAATACGCTCCAAAAACGCCCTTTTTCATATATGCAATGCGAGGAAGAGGAGATCAATGGCTCGCACCCTCACGCTCACGCCCCAGTACTTTTCATCACACTATCCTAAATCTATCATAATTTTGCTTTTTGTGGCACAAATAAAGAACCTATACAAGGAGGATATCATCTTCCTCGTCGAGATCCTGGCCATTTGGACCGGCATCCGTAGTATTCCACTTGTACCAGAACTCATAACTCATGATGGTATGGTCCGCGTACATGAGCATTAGCCGGTAATGGCGCGATGGGTTCCAGCCGCGCCAACTCTCCTCGGGCTGATAGGCACTGCTTGCGCGGGCGTGGCATTCTGGCAAGCTGAGCGGGGGTGGTTGGGGGCTGTCGTCATCGGCAGTGGTAGTTTCACTGGGATCGATTTCTGAATCGTTGATCTCTTCATTGAAGGAACTCTGTTGCAGCATGACGCTGCTTGATAGAGAGGAGTTGGGTTCGTCATGACTCAGGTACTTGAATTGGAAAGCGAGGTCGTCGGGCTTGACGTCGCGGGGAATATAAGGCACGTCCGGCGGGATCTCGAAACCTTGGATGGGACTGACGCTCATTCCCAAGATGGGGACGAGAGGACGGTCGCCGTATTTTTCTTGACTCTCGAACGGTACAATCCAATCAACTCGGAATGATAGGCCGGTTGCTTCAGATTCCGTGAGGGCTATAACGGCTGCGCGGCCTTTTTGGGAGGCGGCAATCACGATGCCATGTTCTGGGACATATTTAACCATGTTGAAGCGATCGCAGGCTCGGATGGAGACAATGGGGTGGGTAAGGGGTTGTCGTAAAGGGTCGCCGCAGACGACTGTGGCGTAATTCGCGAATGGATGGGGTATCAAACGGATGTCTGTTTGTGAGAAGTGTAGGATGGGAAATCGGGAACCTGCTGAATTCGTAACCGAAATGTTATCAACATGACAATGTCTACAGGGGGTAGGGCTTTGAGGGTAATCAACTCACCGTCAAGTAATGGGTATGAAACAGGCCCAGCTGCTGACATATCGCTATTATAGGAGGAACTACTGTCGGCATTATCCAGCTCATGATCGGAACTGTAAGTGCCTCCAGCCAGGTAATAATCTATTTCGTCCTCATAGAATTCGGTACCGGGTGCTTCGCCACCAAGAGCCTCAAGAAGTGCGAATTGAAGGAATTCTGGTGTGGTCAAGGGGCCAGGGCCTGGATGAAGAGCGTCAATTCTTTGAACTGTGCGGTCTAGTGGCTGGTAATGGCCATTACCTGCTGCATTATGCGCTCCCACATCCACATCAGAGCCGTCGCGGCTCAAGTTGTCGCCATATACAGACCCGTTGACGGCTCGGTGGCTGAACGTATCAGCAAAGTCGAAAGGACGAACATTTCCCGTGATCGTGGACGATCCGTTGGCATCAAGAAACTCTGCCAATGCGCCATCGCTTGGATTCCGACGAAGTGCCGCTGATGAGCCGTCAGCAAAAGCGGCCTGGGATGGGCCGTTTCGTCTGCTAATGCAACAGTCGGCTCCAAATATGTCGGGCAAAACAGGTTCCTCTGACTCGATCTTCACTGCAGGTGGGAAGAAGTTGTATATCTGTGAAGCGTTCGGTATCCGACTGTTCGCTCTCGTTAGGTCGTAAACAGTCCGGCCGCCCTTTACCCGGCGATTGGGTGGGCCGCCACAAGCTTCTTCAGTAGACTTAACACGATGGAAGGTCCGCGGGTCGAGGGCAATCACAGACCAGCCACGTTCACTATCACCTGGTCAGTGGTTCGAGTCCTAGTGCTCAAGCTGGGGATAAAACCGTACTCGTTACGTAGGGTCTCCGGGAAGAACTTGAAAGAGACATCATTGAAGTGATTTACGTTGAAAGGGCCAAGACTATCCCATACCCGCCATACAAGGAGCCTATTATCGATGTCTGTGCTGACCATCCAATTGCCGTTAGGATCGAGATCGCAATTCAAGAAACCAACGGAAGGGATATTAGCGTAATGACCAGTATAAGTCAGCTTAACATTTCGTGTGCGGTGTCTGTCCGGCATCAGATGTCGCAGCTGATTGAACTGGTCCTTGGTCCTGACCTCCAGCCAGGTTTGGCCGTAATCGATCATATCATCATCGTCTTCTGGGTGATAGCTCGAGCTACTGCTTTCCGAAGTGGGGTTCACGAGTGCAAAGGCAAAAACGGTTATGAGGCCCGTATTCGCGCTCACTGCAATGAGGCGGGCGAATTTATGGATAGCCAGGCCCCAGGCACTAGCTTGAACAAATTCCACAAAGAATGGATCCACCTGGGATCCATCGAGGGGGCGCTCTTCCTTATTCTCTGCCGCTCGCTTCAAGGCAGAGAAGATGGCCTCGACTCGATACCCACAAACGTTGCCGGAATCAGTAACAAGTAATAGGACTTCATCTCGACCTAGATCATCCACAAGGAGGTTGTTGATCGCGTGTGGCGAAGCTGGTGCAATATAGCCGCTAGCATGGGGAACCTTCATTACGGGGGTTATTATCATCTCGGGCTTGTTTCCCAGCGTCTGAAACGACCCTGATGGCTCCCAGACATAGATTTGGTGACTGTAAGCGACGAACAATAAGTTTCGGCGCTGGGAAAGCGCCATCTTCAGCAAAATTAGCGCATGGCACTCAGGTAGCACAAGAAAGGCAGCAAAAAAGTACCAAGTTATTCCTCCAAGTGGCGGTCTGAGGAGGGAAGGTATCATCTGCGCTGCAGTTTCGTTCAGCATCGCTAACAGACAGCGTTTCGGATCATGGCAGCAGAAACATACGAAGAGTACTTGGTGGGAGGTCAGCATGCCTGTAAGTCGATTTGCACACTAAAGTAGCTTTCATGACGGTAGAAGAGGGGTAGCTACATACTCTTTTGGACCCTTTCTCGACATTCAAAGGCCGAAGCTGTAGACCTTCTCGAGGCCGCACTTTTGGCAGCTTACCAGCATCGCTACTGAACGCCATGTTGGCAGCCTGGCAGTCGCTAACGGGAGGATATGGGTTGGATACAAGGACAAAGTGCGCCGAAGTATATTTCCGACGATCAACCACTCACGTTCGAGGTGTACGGATCGGGGGAAGTGAAGGCGGCAAGATGACCGACATACACAGGCGTCGAGGGGCAGTTCTGGAGGGAATACAATCTCGGTGACATCACATGGAGTCGAACGATGGCCGGGTTTGTTGTCCAAAGCTGCGGCGGAACTCGTGAGTCTGGCGAAGGCACATACCACAAGAGTAAGCGATCTAGAAGATCCTGCTCAGGAATCTCATCTCCGGGTAGATGCCATCACAAATCGGACTGCCTCAACACAGCCGGGCTGATATGAGGTCACTTTCAGCCCGTCCTGGCTGCCTTAGGCACAAGACTGCGCACGTGCCACCGGTGGTTCTCCGGGAGCTTCAGCTTCACTTCCCCGATTCATCCTGGATTCTTTTCCGACGTGTTTAAACCACTGCTTCCCGTTGGGTTAACCCTCAAAATGGATCTCGTCGCAGGTGTTCGGAAAGAGGGCAGCCGGTCAGTTCCCCAATTATACCTACCCTGGTGAGATGATATCCTAAACTAACTGTCACTTCCAGTGGCGGCCGCGGTGATTTCAAATGGTCCGATGTCAAAGATTCCGCGCACCGCGAGAACTATCTCGGCCACTCGGTAATGGCCCCTGTCGGACGCTGGCAACAGGGAAAGGATTTAATGTGGTATGCAAAGGGGGACGGTGATGACGAAGATCAGGCCAGAAAGGAGCGTGAGGAGAAACAGCGCGTCAAGGAAGCTGAGGAAGAAGCGATGGCACGAGCTTTAGGTCTTCCTATACCACCTAAGGCGTCAGACAATGCCAACTTGGTGCCTCTAGGGGACAAAGAGGGGCAAAGGACAATACAGGATGCTACAGAAGATGGCGATGAGAAAGAAGGAAAGGGCATTGGATATGGCTCGTCCCGACGCAGCGGCCGTAGTCGAAGCCCCGGGAGGGACCGAAAGCGAGACCGCCCAGGCGACAGAGATAGGGATAGGGACAGGGACAGGGAACGAGAGCGCAGGCATCGCAGGCACGGTGAGGAGCGCGAGCGACGTCATCGCAGTCATCGCCACAGATCTAGAAGTAGGTCGCGTGATCGTGATCATGATCGCGATCGCGACCACAGAAGAAGACGCTCGCGATCACGGTCGAGAAGTAGAGACCGGAGACGTGATGATCATAGGAGGCAGCGAGAGGACCGTCATCGCACTCACCTGAGAGAAAGGGATTCTCCCGACCATCATCGACGACGCTGAAATTAGAGTCGCCATTCCTTGATTTGCATGATATTCTCGGCGTTCGGGATTTAACATTGTACAGACTTTGATGATACTCCAGGATATCTAAACTATGCCATACATACTTCTCCTACATGGGGCTACAGCTCATCATGGCCCTTCTGCTCGCTGGCGGGCAGATCGGGCATGGACATCATCTTCACCACCATACTGGTCCAGCCGGTGAAGTGTTGGGTCCGCTGTCCGCTTCCGGTTTCGGGGTTATATTGCTCCCAGGCAAATCCGGTCTTCTTCCACTCCTGGAAGACATTCTCAACCAAGTTCTTGCGCAGGTTGGAATACAGCTCACGAGCCTGTTCCTTGTGAGGGCCGGAAACGATCGCAATATCCTAAAATGAGAAGGTCAGCATTATTGCGAGGGGTCTTGTCTAGAGCAGATAGCTACTTACGTAGAGGTTCTTAAGCACCAAGTAGTTGATGTTAACCCAGATGGGGCTTCTCCAGTAGTTCTCAGCGGTGCCGTAGAATTGGTCCTTCTTGCTCAAGCTGCGAATACCATAGTCGCTCCAGAGCTCCTCCGGGTCACCAATCAAATCCAAAATGGCCTTCAAGCGGGGGCTATCCGGGCCCAGCATGCCAGTGAGGAAGGGGAAGATGGAGATATAACCCTTGTGGCAAACGTGGACATGCTCCTCATATTCATCGATAGTCGCATCGCAGTAAGTACGAGCGTCGTCATCCCAGTGAAGATCATCGATGTTTCTCTCGATGGCGGTTTCGTAGGTCTTGAACACCTCAGCGTCCTCTGTCTCCCCAATGGTCACCGCAATACGACGAAGAGCACGAGTCATCATGCCCATCCAGCTCATAAGGTCGACGTGCAGCTCACCGGGGTGGGGAGGTTGAGGCCGAGGATAATCATCCAATCCAGACGTCAGGATATGCTGGATCGAGCGTCCACGCCAGCGGTAGGCTTCCCTAGTAGAATATGCCTCACGGTCATAGGACTTGATGTCACCTTTCTGGGTGCTTCTGTACCAGTAGTAATGCTTCTTGAGCAACGGGTAGATTGAGCGGATAAATGCTTCACCCAACTCAGGTTGGTCGACGAAAATAGAGCGGAGGTTGTCAGTGACCCCAGAATCAGCGTATGTCTGCATCGAGGCGTTCTTCTTCGCTTCCAGCTTATCGATGAAAGCCTCCAGAATGATGAAAAGCGTCGGAGGATTGGCATAATGAGGGTATTGGATCGTGAACTCGGGAGGAACCTTGCTGCGAGCCTCGGATCCAAGAATCTGCTCTCTGGCAATCCAACCATCCTCATCCATTAAACTAAGCCAGCTCTTGACGATCTCAAGTCTTGTTGGAGTTAGTCAATCTATAAGTAATGCTGTGCCAGACTCTGGATTCCGGAAACTTACGCGAGGTCTGTATCCCAATCGATAACTGGAATCAGGTGGAAACCTTCATCCCAGAGAAATCCTCTAGGGAAGAATGGGCGAGAGGGAACGCAAGTGAAGAGATCCTTCGGACCCTCAAGGATGGGCTGTGCCCGACCCCTAGCCTCGGCAGTTTCTTCCCAGAAGCCTTCATTCTCCTCGTCATACTCCGGTGCGGCCGAACGATCAACGATATCTGTTCCGTGGAAGAATCCAATTCCACCGACAAGGTTCGAGAGCATGGACTTGGAAAATTCGGTGTATTCCGCAGTATCAAATGGCGCTTGCGGGGGGTGAACGCTTTCGAACCGTTCGGAGAACTCAAGAGAGGCGCTTGAGATCTGCTCGGTAAGAAGCTCAGCTATCGACACATTCGTTAGTCTAGGTTGAATATCTAGGTCGAGGGCAAAATATCTCACAAGTCATAGGCTGCGGAGAAGATGCAGAAGAGAAAAGAATATCGAACTAGCAATGGTAAGTATCATTTCATAGGTGGGGTGAATTTGCGCGAAATACCTCGAAAGAGCCCTTGAAAACCTTCTGCACAAGGTGCATGTTACCATCACCGGGCTCATTCTTGATGGTGAAGAGCTGGTAGGGAGGGGGAGGGTTCTCTGATCCATACTTTTCGACCATTTCGTCGACCTCTTTCTTCATCTGCGTAAACATGATAACTGCACATGAAGTTAGCGTCATTATCCTGAAGGAGAGATTGTAATATCCAGCAATGGAGCCGAACCTTTAGTCTGCCAGAGCTGCTCTGGGTGCATGGTCAGACTCGACACCAAGGTACGGTCCAGGGGCTTCTCGTCATATGTTGGGTGACCGTGCTCCGGATACTCGTTGCTCTCAGGGCCAGAAGTAACATCGATCGAGAAATCGCCGAGATCCGTCGTAAAGCCACCCAGTTTAACATCACCCGTAAAGCCGCGAGGATCCTCAGGTTCGCCCTCAACGCCCAGGTTGCCAAGTCCCTCCAAGCCCGCATAGAAAAGAACACTTGTAGGTTGATCAGGATCAGCATCACCGCGCGGAACACCCTTCACGCGAGCAGCCCAGCTGCCTCCATGTTGTCCACCGGGGACCTTCACGAAATCGATCGTCAGATCAAGGGAGTTTCCGGCATCATGGATTGTCTGGCGGCCACCCTTCCGGATGTCGTACTCATCCCAGCCATAGCCAGCCATGCCTTCATTTTGCTCGCAGGTATGTCTAAAGTCTTATGAACACCGTCAGTCATAAGTTGGGCGGATACAATTGTTGGAGGGAAGAGACCGGTCTGCTTGTTCCGGACACATACTCTGTTGCGCCGTGGCATAATTGTCCACCTTCGCCCACATCAATCCTGCAAACAGGCTGTTCGGGATGCGAGGGCGAACCCCAAAGTAGAGGTTTGGTTTATATGGGCCCCATAGCAAAGACTGGTTGTTGGCTCTGGCTACCTCGCTGCTCAGAACGGAGAGATCATCGGCCGGAGCTTGACTGGAGAGTACCGCAGCGGCATTGAGTACCGGCGTCAAGATTGCGGATATCTTAGAAAGATGCATTTTCTATATCGAAAGCATCCAGAACTCAATTCAAACCTCAGAGACTGAGGACGATCATGGAGGGGACAAATTGAGACCGATGCGGTTCAGTTCATTGAAATGCGCGTCGTTGTTACTATCTGGCATCTGCTGGAGCGGCCGGCCTCCGCTCCGCAAATTACGTGGCCCAAGCTCCACCTCCCGACAATGGGTCCTGCAGCCTGCAATAAGCTCCTGCTAGAGAGAACTATAAATCTACCTGCAATTAATGCATTTGCTGTGCAGAATGCTATCTACAGCCTTCTATTCTTAAAGAAAATTCCTCGGATCCAGAGAATTGATCTTCGCGCTCTTAGCTGCACCATCGAAAACGAATTCGCTGATCAGCTTGCCAGTACCCGGCGCGTTCTGTATGCCCCAGCAAGTATGACCAGCAGCAAGGTATAATCCCTTGGTGCCAGTATGGCCAATCAATGGACCTCCGCGTGCAGCAGCCACATTAGGCAAGTAACAAGCCTGTCGGGCTAAGACCTCGCCATCACGGAGTCGATCAGAGATGCTGCCGACCTGGTTGATAATGTCCTGGCATCGCACTTGGTCCACTTCAACATCTGCGCTGGTTTTCGGAAGTGGAACGACGTGGTCGCCTTCACCACATGCATAGACCGTGTTGTCTGGGCGAGCGTAAATCTCTGGCGCTGCCTCATCAGGCCGAGAAGGCTTCGTAGGATCGAAGTTGGCCGGGAGATCAATGCTGGTGAAAAGAGTGTATGCGCTGACTGGCTCAACTGGCCGGATAACAACACTATGTGCGCGAGTTGCCGTGATAGGGGCTTCTGGCAAGACCGACCTCGTCCAAGGACCGGCAGCAACAACAACGTCTGTTGCTGAGATGCTGTGCGATTCGGCCGTCTTCTTATCGGTATATGTCACTGACTGGACAGCATCTCCGGAATAGTCGATGCCAGTAACCGAACCCAGAATAATCTTTGCGCCCTTCTCTTCGGCAAGCTTAGCGATAGAAGTCGTAAAGAGATAAGGATGAACCTGTGCAGTCTCTCCGGGATCGCTCATGCTTGTGTAGCTTCTCACAGACTCGGGCTCAAACCAGTCTAGATCTTTGGGGAACTTTGCAGCTTTCAATTTTCCCATAGCATCGGCGCTCCGCTTCTGTAGCGACACCGAGCTCCCGCTTGCTCCTGCGCCGGTATCTTTCTTGTCACTGAGAGGACGGCCCTTCGCCATGAGCTGCCCACAATTGACTTCTCGATAACCCCATCTCTCCTTGCCATTATGCTCTTTAGCCAAGTCCGCATGCAACTTGTAGCTCAGTGGGACGATATTGCTCGGGTAAGCCCACAATGCCAGAAGGCCTCCTGCTTTGCCCGACGCCCCTCCTGCAATGTCGGATGCTTCGATCAAAGTCACCGAATGCCGTGAGGGATCAAAAGAAGGATGTCTGGTCAAGTAATAGGCTGAGCAGCATCCAATGATACCACCACCTTAAGGAAGAGCCATTAGCACGCATCTTCCGAGCTGTGCGGGGTAGATAAAGATAAGTAGATTGATGCGCATGCGGCGCACACGTACCAACGATCACAATTTCACGGCGTTCACCAGAGGTCGGCATCTTGTGGTATGGCGCAATTCTAGACGCCAGAGCTTTCAGAGGAGCCACGGTGATGAGATGACGAGGGGCTTGATGTGATGCCGGGGAGTCGAGTTGGTGTCGGAAGCAAGCCTTTTAAAAGAGGGGCATACGTCACAGAGGTCATGTGCCGAGCGTCCTGATAAGTCTTAATTATATTACATCTGCCTTGATTCGATCTACTAAGAACCAATGCAAGGGTATAGACAGGCTTTGAAAGGTATCTTATTTGCTTGAAAAAAGTCGAGCGACAACAAAAGAAAAATCCCTCCATAGATCTTGACTCCAGCCATGCATGAAAACTGATATCGCCCCAACAGAGAAAGAACATTTAGAAGTGTGGAATAAGTCGAAAGTGCAAAGTTGAGGATGTGAGCAAGAGGCGACCGATAATATCTTGAAGGTAGCCGGGAGACAGAAGGCCTTGGTCACCTCGAGGGACTGAGAGGTCTGTTGAATCCTCCGACACGATTCATGTACTGTCTGTACTCCGTCTTCTTCTCCTTGCGGACTCCGTAAATGTCGTTCCCGGGGACCTTGGTATTCTTCGTGCTCCTGAATTTCGTGAATCCCATGCTGCGGCGCATCATTTCCTCGACATCGTCTTCTCCAACAGCTCCGTCACTGTCCACCTCCATTTCGTCTTTGAACCGGTTCCCTCCTGACTTCGCATCCGTAGCACCGTTTGTCTGTCCTCTATGGTCCCTGCGGTCGTGCCTGCGGTCGCTCCGGGGTCCGCGAGGTGGCGGCGTCCGCGACCGGTCCCTGTTGCCGTTCGGAATAGGTGATCGCGACCTGTACCTGTCCCCTTTTGAAGGATAGCCTTCATGCGTTGTTAGCATCCGTAGTTTGAAAAGTTTGGGTTCTTATCTCCGACATACCGCGTCTATCATAGTGCCTATCCCGACTGACACTTCTTTCCCTATCCCTCATTCCCCGTCCGTCTCTGTCTCTGCGGTCGCGGTCGCGGCGATCCCTCGACCGGCTTCTATCTCGCCTCCTGTCTCTCCGGTCCCTGGAGCGAGAACGGTATCTCCGATCATCACGAGGTCCATCGCGTCGTCCATCATCTTTCGCAACATGGTCCCGTCGAGGGCTTCTGGTATAATCTGGTTCTAATTCGGGTGAACGTGTCCTCCGGTCATCTTGGTCCCACATAGCTGAGCTATCGACTCGGCGAGCACGTTTCGCTGGTGGTTCCGTCATCTTGGAGACGGTGTCTGTGAGAGTCGTTGTGTTGGAGTGTTGTTTTCTTCGTGCACGTGTGAATCCGCAGGAGCGGTTCAAAGGGAAGGGGGATGGGGGATATGGCGGCTGCTAAGGAGATATCCAAAGTAATTAGTCCATTACTCTTCTTCCTCTACTTTTCAATGTCAATTGATAGAGATAAGCGCGCCACGTAGTGGTTGTAGTCTTGACTGAGAATGAGAAAAGTGCTCCGTAAGTCAGGTCCCGAGATTGAAGGCGTGAAGATTATTACGGTAGCCGGTTTCGACCTACTGCGCGGCTAGCCAGATGGGCTTGAACCACTGCCGATCTACGACCCAGGCTATTCACTGGATAAGCAGGGGGATAAATGAATCATCTGTTATCGGTCATTGCTATGATATATTATAGACTGGCGAATTTCACACTCATATGGTGGGAGTAAGCGAAATTGTGACATACAATCAAGTTGTTCCGGGAACTGATGCGGCCACCTTATCGTTGCCGGAGATATGCGATAACCAAATTCCCATGTAGGTCCAGTTGTTCGTTGGTAGAGTCTCAGTTTGGCAGCCTCGCGTAAGGGTTTAATTTAAATTTTTAGTGTTATTTTATGGTAATCCCTTCATGACATACCTTTCTGATGGCTGAGACAGATGTCAATTGTCAGCATGTTCCCATTCGAGCCAGCTCAGCCGTCCAGTGAAGTATATTTCCAGTTTGAGACCCTGGCAAAAGCCTCATAAGGCCTTATTCCGATACTAACTACTAAGTAGTAGTAATTTACCATTGCAGTAGTTTTTGTGACTAGTGATTGACTGGCATCTGACACACACATACTCCGTAGTCTACACAGGATCAAGTGTAGTAGATTGGTACAGATCCCATCATCTCAATGCATAAACAAATGTCATATTCAATGAGCTCATGAAAGTGTCTACAATAGCATCTATGGGTATGGAAGAGATGTTATCTACTTTATCACTTGTGATTTATGCGCTATTTGCAGTATGATGGCATGTGTTTACTTTTTAACCTCAAAATAAAGTCACAGTGCTTTTGATCCTCAAACTGTATCAGGTTGAAGATCTGGTGCAAACATACTACTTCTTTCAGACAGTAAGAATTGCATCCCTTGTGATACACTTGACAATTGAACTCTTTAATTCTCCGAATAGTAGTACATCATGCGGGTGGGCCGACAGCATGAGCTTAAACGCAAGCGAGATCGCTCATTGGAAATCTTGGGCGCCCCGAGCTGAGCGAACCCCTCCATAGCTCGATTCCTGGACCCCGCAATCTTCTGTGCCGAACCGATTCCGATTTTCTTCAAATTTCCCATTCCCGATCCTCCGCTGCACGTCGCCCTTACTTGACTTCAATTATGGCGCCCGCAAGCACTTCTCACCGACAGACGCATAATCTGCTCTTGATCTCAAAGCTTCTTAGCCTGAGAGATACCGCATCACCGCTTACCTTGGTCTTGGACTCACTAGAGCAGCCCGCGACCCCATTGACCAAAGAATACATTCGGCGTGCAAAGGTAGGCATGCTGTTTGCTCTGAGAATTGGAGGGCTGTTTGCACAGTTGAAAGTCGGCCACGAGGCAGCTGAACAATGGCCCTCGTGTCATTAAGTGCCTGTTCCGTCATTGCTTGCCGACGTGGCTAACTGTCGTCGCAACAGCTTTCCAGGACCCATGTAACCCTCCTTGCCTTTGAAACATTGAAACCCCCGGAGGGCGTCGATGCATTCATTCCCGCTCGCCGGAAGAGTCCTTTAGAGATCCTGAAAGCAGTTGGCGCTGCTTACCAAAATGTCTCATCGAATAGCCCTACCCGAAGTATGCCTATCCCAAGCTTCTTCCGCCGAGCTTCATCCGTGAATTGGCTAATGTATCCAAGGGAGACTCATCATCGTTGACGCCATCAACCCGCTTCTACACTCAAAAAAGGATGATCCTCAGTTCCATGTATCACAATTTCTAAGCTCCTTCCTGATTCCGCCTAATCCCACAGCTCCGAAGGTGGAGGTGTCGCTCGTGGTAAACTTTCATCAGGATGTTCCCAGCCCACCTGCTCTCTCGCCCTACGCACCCTCGCCCCTCTCAATGCTGACATACCTCGCTACTACAATCATCACACTCCATTCATTTTCGCATATTCTCGCGCAGAAAGCGGCACGCGATCGGAGTTTGGCCGCGCCTGTCTTTGGTCTTGAAGAAGAGCAGGATGGTGTGCTCCTTGGCCGACTGGACAGACCGAGTGGTCAAGACTCATCAGAGGGGATTGTACTCGAGCTGGAGCACCGCAGAAAGAGTGGTCGCGGCGTCTTGGAATGGTACTTCCTTCCTCCCGCTTCTCGTTACCCTCCCCAATACGTGAAGGAGATTGTGACGTTGCTGGACGACCATCCCTTGTACCGCCCGCCGCAGGAGCCGGACGCCGGTGCAGGCGAAGAAGAGCCCGAATCAACATTCGAATTGCGCCTTACGGAAAGACAGAGACGAGAGCGAGAGGGTGTGGTGCTGCCGTACTTCGATGCCCAGCAGGGTGACGGTCCGGGTGAAGGAGGACGCATCTTATACGACATGGGAGAAGAGGATGATTTTGACGAAGAGGAAGATGAAATCTAGATATATTTACCTCGTCTTCATCACCAGACAGCCCCTTCATATACGCCACAAGACACCACTTGACGGACTGCGACGTCCTTTATAGCACCATCCTTATGCGATACGGGCCATGCGCGATCAAATGATGCGGAGCCGCTGTTCATGCTCTTACAACTATGCGACGACTTAAGCTATACACTCCAACAGCTCTACCAGATTTTTGTTAGAGCTGATTAAGTCCTGGGCTTAGGGGGATGGTGTCCTGCAACCACCAGAGACATTATCTATGCATACAATCATATTAGCGGGTATCGAGTTTCGGAGCCGCTTTTGCCCGCAATTAAAAGAAGCGCCACCAAATGAGGAAAAGGAAGATAAACCCAACACCTGCGACAGGTCCGTACTGCGACAGGTTAGCGTCAAGTCTGCCGTCACATCAACATTGAACCTACCTGCTTGACCAACAACTCCCAGTTGATCCGTACCGCGGCCTTTCTGTACTTCTTGCTGTCTTCCCGTAGACGGCCCGACAATTCGCCCATCCTCTCCAAGCTATCGCCTCTGTATAGAAGGTCCTCGATGTTCTTGGTCATCACTTTCGTCACGTCCCGGAGCTCATCATTAAGACGGTCGAGATTTTGCGATGCGCGGCTATCCTGGTAGAGCTTTTTGGTGCGCTGAATGAAAGTGTCGAATTCCACAAAGGCATATGGGCGCAGAGTCGGAGATTGATACTGTGTCGGGGAATACGTCGTAGTGAACTCGGTTGCGAGATCGGCTAGATAGGTGAATGCAAGCTTGCGCGGATAGGAGTGATCGCATATGCAAAGGAAGCAGATATCATCCTTGATAAGATAGCTAACACCGGTCGTTAGCCAACTGCACTGACTAGTTTTTGCGTCGTACAAAATCCAAAATGTCAGACATACTGTAGATTAAATTGACCGGACTCAATACTGGCTTGCGGCGCCGAATTGCGATTCAATCGGCGAAAGATCATCTTAGCCTGAGACTTGATCTCAGAGAGCTCCACTTCAGCCTAGAGAAGAACACCAGGAATCCCATTGTCAGTTATCAAGCAACAATAGAGCAGTGAATGCGCCCTGAACCAAACTAACCTGCTCATCATCCACCGATGCCGCCAGCATCAAGCCTGTCTCGTAACATCAGTAAACGGCACACTTGGCTCACCCCTCACTCTGTTCCCCCTGAACAAGCTCCGGACAGCATCTTACCATCAATTCTGGCAATCTGTGTTGACCTAACCATCGTGGCGATACTTAATTTCCGTCCTATCACCTACTTGAGCACTCCTTCTGTCGACGCAGTGGTAGGTTGGTGACCTCGGGGTATTGTCCAGATCTCCAATCCAGGCCCGCGGATCAATGGCCCGCCCTCGCAAGGCGGTCGACCGTGGCAGTTCAGCAGCGAAGCAGCCAACAACAAGGTACGATTAGCCAACTAATGCTTGCGTTATCTTCTTTCCCTCTTGTGGCTGGAACAAGACGCATATGGCGACCGCTGAATAAGGCCGTCGCTGATTTAGTGAAGAGTGCTGACCTTGAGAATGTTTCAGAAGCCGCTCCTCTCGCTCTGTGAATGCGGCTAAACAGAGTAATGCCGGCGAATCGAGCTCCGCGATGTCACCATCTACTACTACCAATGCTAAACCGAAGCGGAATCCTAGAAGAGCCGCGGAAGATCGGTGGGAGGAGCAGAGGGTAATGACGAGTACGACGTCACCGTTGGTTGATGCGGATTTAGTGGTACGTTGGAATCGCTAGATATGACACTATCGGGCTGGCGCAATGTCTGGATTGTATGCTTACTGATACCTATTGAGTAGGGACTGCTTGCCAACCCTCAAGCTTGGGACTGTCTCGAAGAGAGCGAAAAGCAAGAGATCATCAGACTTCTTCCGGATGGCGTACATCCGGACCCTAACCCGCCATCTGATGACCCCGATGCGAAGATACCCCCAATTCCGCACTCTTTCTTACGCTACTCGAATAACTGGCGCGAAGGTATTCGGCAATTCCAAGCAGAGCTGGAGAATGGTTACCATGATCCGGAATGGTTGCGCCAGGCGAAGCTGGCCATGGAGGAGAGGGCCGCGGGCAGGTTTGACAGGTTCAAGGAGGAAGAGTTCGAGGAGTTTTGGGGACAGAAACAGAGGATGGACAAGACATTGGTGGCAGGGCAAAGCTCTCAGGTGAAATTGAAGACACTGATCGATCACAATGTTGTCCGCGAGGGCGATGTCTGGAAGTATTCGCGATGCTTTTCCAAGGGTGCCGACAGAGTTCTGGTAGAGAAGGAAGCTAGGGTATGTGGGAACTTTCATCACTTCCTCGATTCGACTTAGATGAACACTCTAACAACTTGCTAGATTGTGGGCATTAATGGCGCGCGGCTGAACTTCATTATTCCTCCTGGACAGCGTGTATTTCTCCCAGCTGTCTCAAGCGGGTACACACAAAATCAAAGCCATGCGGATGGGTTCAAAGCCGATGCAGAAGCTGGCCACCAGCAGCAAGATAGTAATGCTGTTGAAATCGACTATAACGTCCAATTGAACGCCAGCGAAACGACAGAGCCTGTCTCTCCTAAGAAGCGCAAATGTGAAGATGAACACGGCGACTGCAAACGCCAGCGTTCTAAGCCTCCAGAAGCCAATGACCAAGCGGCATCTTCTAGCGAGTTGCCAAAAGAAGCGGCCGCAGATACCGTCAGCCCTTCAACGGCGGCGGAGGCCGTTTCATCCGCCGAGGCTGCAGTAATCTCCACAGCGTCAAGTGAGAAGCCGGAAAGTGCGGGCGAAGCATCAGAGGAACCGCCCGTATCAGTGCCTGATGGACCCCAGGAATCGACAAAAGAGACAGAAGAGACGGCTCCTGCGGACATCCTCGATGAGAGGATGGACGGGATTTTGGTTGAGAATATCCAGGGGCTTACCTCACTTGCCTCCAAGATTATCGAAGTTGATGGCCGTATTACGGACATTCCTAACGGGAATGCTTGGAAAGAGTTTCGTGCATACAGGAACAATCAGGATATGGGGAGTCTATGGGAGGTTAGACAAGCTTGGTTCCAACGTGCTAGGAAGTAAATAGGATGGCTGGTCCTTCTATGTGCGCCCAACATACTAGCATGCTTTAATTTCTCCCAGTTTGGATAACGATAAACTTTACTTTAGATAACGGTGTGTCGCCAATAGAGTGCAAGTCGCTCATGATACCTCTACCATAGGCATGAGCGAACTCATTCACAATATTACCTATTATTGTTCCAAACACATCAAGACTTAATAATCATTGAAATCCCTCATGACCAGTACCCATACCCATAATCATACCCTCCTCCTTAGACGACCGACCAGCCTCATCAGCAGCATAATCCACAGCAAAGCTTGCCTGAATGAAGTCCTCCAGCTCTTCACTAACCGTCTTGAGCTTCTCCTTTACGCTAGCCACACCCTCCTGCCCCACAATATGTCGGGACGGTGGATTCTCATGGCCCGCAATAGCTGTAATAGCATAGACAGTCTCACTCACCAGCACCTCCATATGCGCCGAACTTAGCGGAGGATACGTTGATATGACCTCTGAGGCCGAGAATGGACCATCTTCGATAGAGTTACCTTGGTTCGACCCATTTGATGAACCCGCTGAGGATTGCGTGTTGCTCGACAGACGTGACACGAGTCGGTTCAGGATTCCGCGGAAGAGTGGCGCGTGGTTAGCAGCGGATGAGTATACGGGACCTATGGGTGGAACGCTGGTTACTAAGTTTGTGAGAATGCCGATCTCGATGCTGCATTGGAAAATGGTGAGCTTGATGTTGAATGGAGCGATCTCATATGCGAGACTCTGGTAATGGATTGGTTAGCGATAAAGTTGGGATAGAGGGTGGGAAATGTGGTAGTGAATCTCACATCGCAGAAGCCTTCGAGAGCCCATCCGGCTGCGCAGTACATTCCCAGTCCGGGTGTACCTATATGAGCGGCTGTCTCTGGTTAGATCTTGCCTGATGTATGTGAGAAGTAGGAGCTGTGCTTACTGATGCCGGAGAGGATCGTGATGTGCCCTGCCTTTTGCCTTCGCATGTGCGGCAGCGCTGCCTTAATGATATTGAGTGGTCCGAAGTAGTTGCTCTCAAACTGGTCTCGGACTAGATTAAGCGTCTGCTGCGAGGCTGAGAGCTCTTCCACTGTTCCGATGAGGGCTACGATGCCATTTAGCGATGTGCAAGATGTGGGTATCGAGGCAGTTGAAAGCTAACCTTGGCTAGTACAGCAAAGAAGAACGTCTACTCTGCCGAATGAAGCGACAGCTTGCGCCACTATGGCCTGACATTCGCCGACCATTCTGTGAGATAATTATAAGCCTATGTCATATATTCGAGAGTAACAAGACCCAATCACACCTTATGTCCAGAGGCAGTGCCTTGAATCGCTTCCCCCATCCCTCATTGCTTTCAATTTCTGCCAGAAAAGCATCGAACATATCTCGACGACATTCATCGCGATCCAGGCTCGAGTGCGCCAGTCCAACCAGGGCATAGTCTCCATGCATTAAGATCTGGCGCGTCACAGAGATGCCGATGGGGGAATCCCCGGCCGTGATAACCCACACCCGCGGCTCATTATGAGCAGGAAACTGAGGGCGGGAGTAATCGGGAGAGGGCTGATTGTCCGCCATTGGGAATAAAACCGACCTTCATGAGCCTAACATGCCTATTGCGCGACTCAGTGCTCTTCTCCAAATCCGGCGGAATCGTAGCAGATCGGTGATGTGGAGAAATCCGCGGAGGAGGGATTTATGACATGCTTCCCACTTCCGCCTGGCTTATCGCCGGGACCCGCCAAGGGCCAAACGCCGGGCTTCTGGGCCAGAACCAACCAACCAACCAGCCGTTAGCCTTCGTGTTCCTTCGTGGCCTCTTTTCTCTTCCTTCTTCTTCTTCTTCTTCTTCTTCTTCTTCTTCCTCCTCTCCCCCGTTTTTCCCTCTTTGCTGACCAGGTTCTCTATAAACGGGTCGCAATGCCGGAACAACGTCAGCGTAGGGAGGAGTCGGAGCAAGGCGTGCGTATGCTTCAATCTGCTTTGTTTGTGGTGCAGGATTCGATGGGTTGGCTGACAGTCGCTTTTCCTTGCTTTAGTCCGGCTTCAAGGGTGCCCTTCAGGGTCTGGCTTTTTTCTTGTTGGCGCAATTTGTGATGAGCCAGTTCTTTGGGTCAAAGCAAAATGCGGGCTCAGGAGCAAAGCCTAGTGATGTGCCTTCTTTCAACACGCGTCCGCCTCGCAGCGAAGTGTCCAACTACAGCCCCGTTCCCGATCTCGTTACCCCGATTTGGCCTTCCGATAGTGCTCTGGACCTGAATATCTACGTTTCGCCTTCAATTGTCGTTCCTGGCTTCAAGTCCTTCCCATCGGACTCCCTCGTTCTGGAGGAAAAGAACTTTACTATCGGAAACTACAGTGACACTAGAGAAATTGACACGACCATCAAGATCCCCAAGGAGGTTCAACGCAACGGAACTCTCTGGGCGCATTTCTTTGTCGGACTCACCGGACACCAGCTCGACCCTACCGCTAAGGATTACAGTACCGATAGTGCCGTTCATTTCTTCCGCCCCTTGAACCAGTACCTCCCCAAGAAGAAAGTGAAGAAGTTGAAGAACCTGCTTGCTTCGTCGGAGGAAACCGAGGAGGAAGAAGATGATGGCACTCCCGATGTCTCCATTGCGTCTTACTACCACCCGAACTTCACCGTGTCCGTTGTTCCTGACGCCGGTGCGCAGAAGTACCGCCAGGTTCACCCTGCTGTTAGACAGCATATGCAGCTCGAAGCGACTGGCGCGCGGGATGCCACTGGGCAGAATGGCTGGTACTATCCGATTGTGTTCCTCAACACCTTCTGGCAGCTCAGAAGTCACATGATGGAGCTCAACTCGACCGTCGAGACCGTTCCTATGCGTATCACTCTCAACAACCTGCAGAACTGGAAGTTCAGCATGATGGCAAGTGTTGATGAGAATGCGAAGGCAAATGCCAAGCAGGCGGCTTTTGGTGGTCAGACACCCGGTGGCGGGGACGGTACTGAGTTCGAAATGGTCAAGGAAGTCCTGCTTGACACGAACATCTACCTGCTCTGCACAACTGGTGTGGTTACTATCCTGCATATGGTCTTCGAAACTCTGGCCTTCAAGAACGATATTGTAAGCTTATCACTCCATTTCCCTTTCGAATCCTTCTTGTGTCAAACGCTAATGGGTATGTACTCTGAATAGTCTCACTGGCGCAAGAAGAAGGATGTTGTTGGTACCTCCGTTCGTACCATCCTGGCGAATGTCTTCATGCAGGCGGTCATCTTCCTCTACTTGATGGACAACAGTGAGAACACTTCTTGGATGATCCTCGCAAGTCAAGGTTTTGGTATCCTGCTAGAAGCCTGGAAGATCACCAAGACAGTAGACGTGCGCTTGCGTCCTCCGCCAGCTGGATCATTCTTCTCATTCCTCCCTTATGTTATTGTCTTTGAGGACAAGCACAAGCTCAGTGAGACGGAGCAGAAGACCAAAGAATATGATGAGATCGCATTCCGCTGGCTGTATATCATTGCTGTTCCGCTCTTGGCCGCATATGCTGTGTACAGCCTGATCTACAACACGCACAAGTCGTGGTACTCCTATGTCATTGAGACCCTTGTTGGAAGTGTCTACGCCTACGGCTTCCTGATGATGGTGCCTAGTCTGTACATCAACTATCGACTGAAGGTATGTTCCCTTCTTAACCATCCATGTAATAATTTTTGCTAACTTGTTATTGCAGTCTGTCGCTCATATGCCCGGAAAGGCTTTGACGTACAAGTTCCTCAACACCTTCATCGACGACCTTTTTGCTTTCACTGTCAAGATGCCTTGGCTCCACAGATTGGCAACCTTCCGTGATGATATCATTTTCTTCATCTGGCTCTACCAAGGCTGGAAGTACAAGGTTGATTACAAGCGTGTCAACGAATTTGGTCAGGGTGGCGACAGTGATGAGGAGGAAGAGGAGCCTACACCGGCTGAGGCGCCCAAGGCCAAGGAGACAGCGACTGCCTCTGGGAAGGCAAGCTCTAAGCAGCCGGCTAGAAAGAGGAAGTAGACGTGATTGGCTTCATTCTTCCTGGAAGTATTCCCAGACTACTGTTCATAGTTGAGATGTTGGAGACATTGTGGGCCATGGCTTTTTGTTCCTCCCACGATGTCATTTACTACCAATCGCATAATGAGGAGCTGCATACAGCTCAAGACCATCTAGATTGAGACCGTCCGAAGTAGAGTAACTCAATACTACGCCATTTGAGGAAGAGACGGCAAGCATCCAGTCTAGCGCATATGAAGATGCTTGACTGTAGGCACCTCATCTATAAATAAGTAGCTGCAACTAGAGTGCCTTGAAAAAGCATTCATATTTTATTTTGGCGGGTCTGCAGATCAGAAACAAGACCACATGAGATAGAAAGAACAAGATTACTGCAAAGCGTCCATGGTGTTCGCAGTTACAACTGACGAAGCTGGCATACGGCCTACAGTGGTTGTTGGACACCCGAAATGGTAAAGTTGCTCTCTCAGGTTCCATTTCCCGCGATCGACTCGAACAGTCCCACGCGACGGAGATACATCCTGAAACCACCTACCACGGCAAAAAGCGACTTGACCATCAACACACTGTCACTTTTGCGCCCAGAGAGCATAATATCAGGCGCTTTATGGTAATAGAGCCTAACGCGCTGTTTGCTCAGGGCGACAGTCTTGTTTTGCGTGTGATGTGCCTGGTGGTGCGAAACACCTACAATCAAGCACGGCCTCACTCGGCTAGAGGAGAGGAAGGTCTATTAGTTGACTGATAGGTTTGATAATTTGTTTGCGAAACAGACATGTCATCTGACTCTGAAAGAGGTTTGTCAAGCTTGCTTCATCGCACAGGTTCGAGTTTGCTGATAGTGATACTAGACATTGAAGTCAGGCCTAGTAGCCTTGAAGATGCGATCGAGCATCTTGAAGCAGGTAAAACCAGTTACTAAAGACATCTTGAAAAATGGCGCATCATTAATGTGTATCCAGTTGCTTTCGTGCCTCCGAAACAGCGATACACGGATGCTGGCCAGTTGGCCAAAACAATAGCAACCCACGCGTACGAGAGCGGCATACCGCAAGCTGCCCTCGAACGCTTGCTGAAGCTTCTCACGACACACAATGCTCTTGACCAAGGCACAGTCACTACACTAGTCAAGAACTTGTACCCGCTGGAGAGAGTATCTTCCAAACTAATCACACGGGTTGTGTGCTGTCTCGGACCCGCTAAAACGAAGCCCAGTCCTGCGACCCAGGCTTTGCTTGTGCGATGGCTGATCCTTGTATACGATTACCTCGATGACAAGACTCATCTGGCAAAACTATATGCCGTGCTATTTAACTATCTGGACATGATCAGTCTGCGCAAGCCTCTGTGCCACTTGCTTTCGTTCATCACGAGGCGCAAGCATGTCAAGCCCTTTCGTATCCAAGCTCTCATGGAGTTAGTCAGCCTTTCCGGTGGTGAAGAGAAAGAGCTCTTGATTCTACTTAATGTGTTCAAGAATTATTGTCCTGACGTTATTGTCGGTGACCTTGGTTTTACGGGAAGAAAGGCATCCTTCTTTAAACACCCGGACCCTGAATGGACCGCTCATGTCAGAGAAATTCAGGATACGCACCTTGAAAGGTTGCAGGCAGTGCAGCCCTCGACATTTCAGGTTGTACATCGCGGCCTAACAAAAAGAAGCAAGATAGAGGCCATTGTTCCTGATGTGAAGACATCAAGAGTGTCCTATAGCCACACTTCTTTGGAAGAACTGCGTGGTGTCGAGCATCTTGTTGATAAGATTGACAAGATAGAATTACCTAACCAGATTATATCCATGCTGGGAAATAGCTTGGCGCAGAAGTACCTCTTCCTGGCTCGTTCTGAGGCTGCAGATCGCCGGTTGAACGACTGGCTAAAAACATTCCTAAGTGACCAACTGGAAATTGCGCGGTCAAACGACGTGGAAGACCATGAGAGTTTGGGCTACATATTGGCTTTGGCGGTTGAATATGCGCAATACACGAAGGTATTTCCCGTTAGTCATTATTCGCTACCTCAGTGGCTCACTCTATTATAGGAAATACCGGACGCTTTCACATCATTCCTCAAAAAGTACCTCATCTCCTGGAATGGCGAGGACAACAAAGAGCAGATACTTGGGCTTCTCGTGTATATTCCCATTCTTGACTTCGATATTCTAGGTACAGATTTCTTGATACCACTGGAGAGAGCACTCCTTAACGGAGCCATTTCATCAAGAACATCTCTACTCGATTTCTATTCGGCCTTGATCCGTCGATGGGGAATCCAGTTAAGGACACATTCCCGGACCACAGAGGAATTCAAGCCATTGGGTCTCCTGATATCGCACGCAGAGCTCCTAGCTTTATCGACTTTGGAGTGCTTGACCTCAATGCCGGATCCCACAGATGCTCGACATGAGACACAGAAGCCTGCCACACTGTCCATCTTGGACTTCTACTGTACCCTGGCCGAACTTTTCACACATGCATCCCTGAATGGGAGCATTCGACTTACTGTCCCGCTAGCTCCTACGGTCTATACACTTGCCTTCACGCCCATCAACTCAGTCATCTCCATCATGTGCTCAGTACTTGCCAGCTATAAGTCGTCCTTTGAGGCTTCCCTCACCTCTCAGGTTCTCCGGGTACCAAACTCTCAAGACTCGCTCTATCCGACAGAACTTGTGGGCCAATTCAATGGCTATATTATGGACATCTGTAACCTGATCTGGCGGAACCGAGGACTCAACTCGGAAGACCCCAACGCCGTGGGTTGTTTGATACCGGCCCCCACCGTTGGTGCACTGACGCGGTTCATTCGTGAGTTCAATGAGAGGGAAAGAAAGCGCGATTTCTCTTTTGTCTACACCATATCCTCGGTTTTCTCTCTAAGCCACCACGTGGCATTGTGCAACATGTCTGCGGCCTGTTTCTCTGACCTCGAGGAAGAAAACAACATTAGCGATGAACAGCCCAAGCTGAGGAAGCCAGTGACGCAGAAGGCACTGAGTGCGCTGGAGAAAGAAGGAGGCATGAAGATGACGTGGCAGGAGTATAGGGTGCGCATGCTTGACTGGCTTGACGCGAATGGAAGTGTTGGGATTGGTAATTTAATGCGGAGTACGATGAAGGCTTTGCGAAAAGAGTAGAGAACGGTATCAGAAGAAAACTCACTTATGCCTTCCTCTCGTATGTATTCGAAATGCATACACGCTTTGATATTTCGTGATTTGTAGTAATATAATACAGAAAGGGCTCGACGAGCCGCCAGCCACTCCAAGGTGTTCCGAGTCTAGTGTACACTGTAATGAGGAAGTATGAGAGGCCCCAGGCTGTAGTCGTGGAAGGCATCAAGCTGCCAAAAATAAATGAAAAATCATCAGAAGCGCTGGACTGTGTTCAGGTAGATATCTCGTAGACTCGGCTCTTCTCGAAGGTCACTGATGATATCCTCCATTTCCGCAACCTGTGCCTCATCCTTGAGATCGACTATTGTGTCTTGGTTGGGATCCCATATGATATCCAACTCCTCAATGGAAAGGCCAATCATTTTCTCAAGTGTCTCGCCCACACTCTTTGTTTCCGTGGGTTCTGTGAAGACAAGGAGCCGGCCTTGCTCATCTGCCGTGATATCCGTAGCACCTGCTTCGATAGCCTGGTCTATATAGTCGTCGGGATCCACCCCATCCTTCTTCTCGAAGATGATCCTGCCTTTCTTTTCAAAGAGGTATGTGGTAGGTGTGACGATGCCCCCGGCATCTTTGATAGCGTGTCGAACGTCTTGCAATACACGGGCTTTCTGATCGGTCAGACACTCGAGAACGGCCGCAACCGAATGGGGGAGAATAGCTTCGACCGTGACCTGTTCCAGAGCTTCACCAGTGACACTTATGCCCTGTCCCCGAGCAACTGCTGCTTCGATCACAGTCTTTGGGATTCCTGCTCGCTTTGCATTGGAAAGGGCGAGGGTAAGGCGCGGATTGAATTTAGGATCGGGACCCCACACTGCTTGAGATCAATACCGAAGAATGACGGGGGATTGATTGTCGAAATCCTTCAAGTACATACTCTGAGTTGCACTGCTGATTTCCTTGCCAATAAGTTGGCGCTCCTTGCTTTTTGCCTTGTCATTTTTGGCCTTGTCATGTTTGATCTGAGACCATCGATTGTGTCCTGCAAGCCACGGAGCGCTGGTGGTGAGGGTACGGCAACCATCGCCCACCACCCAATTCGCGCGGGCAACCCGCTGCTGCACCAGGCGTTTGCATACGATCGTCGTCATTGCAGAAAGCTTCGATAGATGATCCCCGCAAGCGCGTCACTTCGTGAAAAAGCGTCTAGAATCGCGATCTGATAGCGGGGCCGGTGCAACAGTTTCTCCGCGACCGCCCCCGGACGGAGGTGTGAGGCCAAGTGCCCGCTTAAAGGGGGGGGGAGATCCATCTCATCCCCATCCCATAGAAAGTCTGGCCGACCTGTCAACCAGATTGCGGTCGCATCGTGTTCTCCTTTCGCATCTCACCTCTGTTCATTCCTTGTGAAAGGGAACCCTATGGGTGACCCTTTAGTCGCCATAGTCGATCCCAATGTCTTCATCGGAAAACGCTACGTCTACTTCTGACAACCATGCGCTCCCCTCCGAACAACAGGACCTGTACCTCCTCACCTTCACCTCCGATCTGGTTCAACACATTTCCGGCCTCGATAAGGCTCAAGTATCGGCGCAGCAAAAGTTCTTGAAAAAGGAATTGTTCAAGATACTCACGCTTTCCTCGCCGACCATCACGCGAGTAATCCGCAATAATCTAGGCCGGTGTTTCGGGGCAATCTTCAGCAAGGGTGACCGTGGCATACTATTTGAAACTGTTACCGATCTACTAGGCCTCCTAAATACGGGCAAGAGCGATGCGGAATTGAAGACTAGGTTTGCTGTAGCCCATTGTATGGGCGAGGTCTTTGCGGTCGCCGGAGAAAGTGTCTTTGCGCAATCAGGCGTTGTTGTTGCAAGCTTGCTCAAATTGCTTAAAGCATCAAGCAACCACACTGGATGTCGTGGGTCAACCTTTGCCGTCCTGCGAAAGGTCGTGGTCGGTACTGGAGTCCCCGTGGACGAAGCAACTGCGCGCGACATCTGGAAACAAGCTCGCAATGCCGCAACCGGGGATAAATCGACGTTCGTTCAAGTACATGCCTGTCGCTGCCTGGAGCAGTTAGTGAACACGACTCCATACTTTGACAACACGAACGACTTTGACCATCTGAAGACCTTGGTATGGAAAGTCATTGACAGCCCGGTGGCCCCGGTCAGACACGCGGCCGCGGCCTGCTTGGCTCGTGCGCTGGCCAAGTTGCATGCTACCGATACCCCAATTATCTCAGCCCCGAAGTCGAAGAAAGCAAAGAGACTATCAAAGAAGCCGGCTGCTAAACCTGGCGAGGATGAAGAAGAGGCCGAAATTTCAGAATCATCTGCTCCCAAGAAAGCTGAGCCGCGTTTGTTCTTCCTCCTTCCTGACCTTCTTCGTCAGCTGTCTGCGCAGTATTTACGGAGCACAACTTCCAACCGGGCCCGCGCAGGTATCGCTATCTGCTACAAGCATGTTCTGCGAATCCTTGGGGATAAGATCATCGAGGAACGTTACGGCCAAATCGCAAATCATCTGCTTTTCGATATTCTCAACCACCCTACCGTCACGTACAATCGATTCAGGCTTCTGATGACCAGGAAGTTCGTCAAGAGTATTCTGGAGGATACTGTTGGCCGCGAATCCCTCCGGGAAACTAGTCAACTCAATGCGGCCAAGTGGCTAATCAATGATGTTCTCAAGGATTATCCTCAAGTAATCCAGGAACGCCGCGAGCCTAGCAAACATTCCCTCACGAGCGCCTTAAGTGCACTTTCTTCTTTGATTGTGTCCCTTGGGTCTGCTTTTGGTACCCTGGCGGAAACTTGTCGCGAAGCTCTGCTCCAAGTTTTACCGCACCCCAGCTATACTGTTCAGATCCATACAGCTCAATGCCTACGAAACTTCGTCCTTGCGTGTCCGCATCAGTTGTTGTCCTGTGTCACCATTTGCTTGAATAGCCTGAACCGAGAAGTGGGACAGCTGTCAACGCCTAGGCAGTCGCCGCGTCGCTGCATCGGTTATGCCAATGGACTCTCTGCCATGTTAAGTACATCTCGATTACAGCCTCTTTATGGTTCAGTTGAGGTGTTCTCGCGTGTGTTCACCCAGGCGACGGATCTCCTGAAGACTAGTAGCAACTCGGAACTGCGTGCCGCCAGTACACAGATTCAAGTCGCTTGGATTCTGATCGGAGGGCTGATGCCACTCGGCCCTAGTTTTGTGAAGATTCATCTCTCTCAATTATCGCTACTATGGAAGAATGCGCTCCCCAAACACCTGAGTCAAGAGAACTCTGGAAAACGCGGTATACTGGAATTGAGCTTCCTTGCGCATGTGAGGGAGTGCGCTCTGAGTTCGCTGCTGGTGTTTATGGAGTTCAACAGCAGACTTATAACAGCCGACGGCGCGAAGAGAATTGCCATAATGCTCCAAAACACGGTTGAATTCCTGGACGATCTGCCCCGCCAAAAGACTGCCAACGAACTTTCGCAACGACTTCATCCATCATTGCAACTTCATGATATCGAGACCATGGTCCGGCGCCGTGTTCTGCAGTGCTTTTCTAAGTTACTCCGGGTTCACCCTGTTAGCCATGCCGATGTTATTTCTCAGTCTAGTTTACTGAGCCTGGCCATCTCGTCGTTTGCAGACCCCGACGCGGCCCAAGCTGGTCCACTGGAGAGCTCAATCGCGGCATCCACCGCGCAATTTGAAACTTTGTGGGATCTATGTGATAACTATGGCTTCGGAATGACAGGCCTGGCGAGGGAATACGTGCGCGTGACTCTGACTGGGAAGCATGGTACCGATAATGGTCCTGCTTGGTCGGCTGTTGATTCAGCGGATCAAGCTGTGGATGAAGCTGTGAGTGGCCCACTTTTCTCTCAGATAAATCGTAGTAGGACTAATATCTCTGCAGTTGACTTTCCCTATATGCCAAGCAAGCGAACATGATTCTTTGCTTTTATACTCGAGAAGGGAAGAAGATTCTCCTTTGGCTGATCCCCATTCCACCGGCGTTGTGAATGCCGCCATTGAGCTCTTTTCTGTTGCAATTCCGTTGCACACCCCAAGGGTCCAGGAAGGTAGTGTAGAACAAATCGCAACCTTCCTCTCATCCACCAGTCTTCAGCGTAATCCCGGGCGCAAGGCTGCTATGGTCGTCAATATCGCTGTGGCACTACTCCATGCTCTGAAGGTCTCCGTGAAAGAGACCGGTTCTACATCTGGGAAGCTCAATCCCGCGACTGATAAAGTGTTGCAGGAACTTGTCCAGGTAAGGCTTGTTGTTGGCAGAGCTATGATGGAAAGGGCCATAACAGAAAGCTAATTGACGCAGAAATTCGTAACCGATGCTGATCTGACTGTTCGGACAATCGGGGTTGAGGCACTCGGACGTCTTTGTGAGAGCTCTGGGACCGCTTTCACCAATACACAGATCAACTGGCTGGTCGACACCATTGTGGAGAACCGCGAGCCCAATACCCGTGCTGGCTGTGCTGCTGCCTTGGGTTGCATTCATTCCCAAGTTGGTGGTATGGCAGCTGGCCTGCATCTTAAGACCATTGTTGGCGTTTTGATGTCCCTGTGTAGCGACCCTCACCCTGTCGTCCACTTCTGGGCTCTTGGTGGTCTAGAGAGAGTAGCTAACTCTGCCGGACTGACCTTTTCGCCCTTCGTCTCAAGTTCCCTCGGAATGCTAGCCCAGCTATACAACGCTGACACACACAATGAGGAGGCTGCAGCCCTAGCGACTTCCAACATCGAAATGTCTTTCCTCACTCCTGTCGTGATCAGTCGCTGTGTTGACTCCCTCATCAACGTTCTCGGGCCGGATCTTCAGGACATTGCTAAAACACGCAACCTCATTCTCACACTTCTTCGCCAGTTCCAGCTGGAGGACAACTCGGCTCTAGTCACTGAAAGCTCCAAATGCTTGGATCATCTCTCCCTGTATGCGCCGGGATACGTTGATTTCTCCGGATACGTAAAGCGGTTACAGAATGAGCTCAGCGACGGCAACCCGTTGATGAGGGATGTGGCTATTCGGGGACTGAGTAACCTCATGAAGCGTGACGCTGGAGCTGTCCTCCGCACCGCCACTCCAACTCTTGAAGAGGAAATTTGGCTTGCATTCGATGATACTCCAGACTGCCCAATCCTCAGAAGCATGATCCAGGATTGGCTGCAACAAACGGCCCTTGTGGAGACGGAATTGTGGATCCAGCGCTGCCACAACACGCTGACCAAGACTCGTGTTAAAGTGGAGGATATTCCTCTAACATCCGCGATCAGGCCTACTGGAAATGACATGCCAGATGATGAGGTTGCAGGGTTTGCGTCCGCAATTGCGGGCGCTGGCCAGACAGAAGAGGCAAATGGCGCTGTCTCTGGCCAGGAGCTTCTGAAATGGCAGACTCGGAATTTCGTTATGAGCTGTCTTAGCCAACTTTTGGCGATTGTGCAAGAGGCAATTCTGCCGGATCAAACTATTCCTGCTGAGCTTGCGCTGCAGCAGAAGGTTGGAGATATCGTCCGCATGGCTTTCTCAGCATCGACTGCCAATGTAATAGAACTTCGAGTCTGGGGACTGCGGATTATTGATCAAGTTCTCAAAGTACGTTAGCCCCTATTTAAGGTGAAAATGTCTCGTTTCTCAGCTAACAATCTATCAGATGTTTGGCAAGACACCCGACCCAGACTTTACCGAGGCATCCCTTCTGGAACAGTATCAAGCTCAGATTGGATCGGCTCTTACGCCCGCGTTTGCCGCTGACTCGTCTGCGGAATTGGCATCAGAGGCCATCAATGTCTCTGCGACATTCATTGCTACCGGCATAGTGACCAACGTTGATCGAATGGGCAGAATCTTGAAGCTTATGGTTCTAGGCCTTGAGAACTTCTCCAGTAAGTGCCATAAAAGTATGTAATAGAATTCCGCTAACCACCCCAGAAAACCTTGACACTACCGAGATTGGCGACCTCAAAGGTCTTAATCCGAATGCTAGGGTCATGGTCAAGATGGCTTTGTATTCTGCCTGGGCACGGCTGCAGATTGCCAGTGTTGAGCAGGACTACCTGAACCAAGTGGTTCAACCGTATCTCATGAAACTCACTCCGCTATGGTTGTCTTCGCTCCAGGAATATGCTCGGCTGCGTTTCGAGCCTGATATCTCAGGAAGCTTGGGCACTGGCCCTATGAGCGGGGATTTGGACGAGGTGTACGCGGCATTGAATCGGGAGACCCTCTTGAAGGTAGGACATGACTGGCAGGGTCGAAGTTACTAGTCAAGATGCTAACCATCGTTACAGTTTTACCAAGACTCCTGGTTAAACCTTGTCGATGCCATTGCTGGCCTGGTTGAAAAGGACATCGATTTTGTCTTTGACGCATTGGACGGCAAGTCGGAGTTGGAAGAATCTGAGAAGACCGAGAAGGACGACGAGCAGAAAACTATCGATGAGCCAAAGGGAAAGGGTGACAACATCAACTATCGTGATGAGCCTGTTGCATTCTTTTTCGTTCTGTTTGGTCTGGCATTTGAAGCTCTAGTTGACCAGTCTACAACCCCATCCCAGAGATTGGAGATTCTCCAGGCTCTTAAAAGGATCCTGAGGCCAGTCATCTCGGGTAATGCGATCTACCAGGATGCGATTTTCTCGGAGACTATGGACTCTCTTGACCGTCTCGCGTTGACCGAAACAACTCCCATCCAGAATGTCATCGTGGAAATAGCACGGAACCTGTCCTTAGACCATCCTTCTGCCAAGGGCAGCGAGGGCCGAGACGATCATCTGTCCGACGACATTGAGCAGCTTTTCGAGCTAACAAGAAGCATAATCCTCGTGCTTGCAGGGCTCCTGCCCAATCTTCGCGAGTCCACACCTCTTGCACGATTCAATGTCGGGTCGGATGATGCCTTGTCCCTCATCCGGCTTGCGCTCTCGTCGCTGGTTAATGTTGCCTCGATTTTCCCCTCAATCATCCGCAACGACCTCAACGCATGCATTTTGCACATTTTCAGCACTATCTTGGCGACTGGGCTGTGCCAGGCGGAGGTCGTGCCTCAGGCTCTACCGACTTTCAAACACTTCATCAGCAGCGTAGCGAATTCGCCCGAAGTCAGTCCAGAACACCCGGAAAACCGTAGCGTCGTCTCTCGCCAGTTGCGTGGCTGTCTTACACGCTTCCTCACTACCCTGACTTTTGCGCAACGACGAGAGTCCGAGTCCTCTCTCCCCTGCGCGAAGAACACTCTCCTTGCTATTGCCATTCTCCTAACGAGCGGTGGACACATTATTCCACCTCAAGATCCTGTGATTTTCCGAGTTCTGGATGAACTCCTGGACTGCCTTCAAGATGTTGGACTTGCGAACGTTGCTGCTGGTTGCATTCGCTCCATTCTCCTGACCTCAAACCCGAGATCCCCCACTAGCGAAGTGATCGCCCGCTACCTGTTACCCCGACTCATTGCCTTCTACGTCGGCTGTCCCACAGACAACGGTGACGTCCCCAGCGACCCGGAAAACTCCAAAACAGTCATTGCGCGCACGCTCGTCGCATGTGTCAGCAATGCAGTATTCCCTGCAAACGAGATGCCCACCGCCATCTCCCTAATTATGTCGACGCTTCTTTCTCGCGCAAAACGTGAGGGGCAGGCCATCTATCAGGAAACCGCCGTTCATCTGCTGGAACTGGCTAAAGCCAATCAGCTCGTGTTCCGAGCGCTCGTGGCTACTATGAGTCCGGAGCAGAAGGCTCGACTCGAGGAAATCCTCCGCAGTGCGGAAGCCGGTTTGGGAGCCAATAAACATGCCCGTGAGAGCACGCAGTCCAGCAGTGAGCAGCAAGCCATGCCTAGTATTGCGCTGAGGTTCGACTTCTAGTATACTTTATTGGATTCTTCGCGTCTTTTGCTTTCTTCTTTGCATGTTTTTATTTCGTGTTCATCTTTTTACTCGTGTTACAAAACCCCCCCGTATAAATTTAATTGGACAGGCGTGAGTGACTTTGGCTCCTGCCGGATGACATGTTCTATCACGCATGCATGGCACGAGATGTGATGATGACGACAACGCAGGGATAACTGGCTAGTACTTGGAAGGAAGGGTCCCGTGCACAGGTCATGACGGCGAGCGTTGCGCTTATGAGATACATGCCCATACTATTTGCATATATAGAGTTATTTTTTTTTTTAAAAGATGATAGAGAAGTATAGGTATAGGTACAATGATTTGAAATGTTAACATGACATGATATGACAAGGATAATGAACGATGGAACCCGTCTATATGTTGCGATTGTCCCCATCCAGGGAACAGTAGAGAACTAAATGTGAAAGAGAGAGAGAGAGAGAGAGAGAGAGAGAGAGAATGTCAAAAAGATAGATATATGCGTGGGGGTATCGAGATGTCTCACCAACCAGGAGGGAGATAAATCAATGTGATGTGGGCTAAGAAAACAAAAGGAGAAGATCTATAACTGGTATAAGAATGGATGATATACAGGAGAAGTAGGAAGTAGATGGATTGGTTGTTGTACAATCGGTAAAATCATTTGAACTGGGAATGAAAGGAGGGTAATGGAAGTTCAGCCAAGGGACTCTCCAAGATGAACCCCCGGAACTGGCGCCGACTTGGGCTGGAGAGGATCCCGGCCGGCGACGGCAGCTGCTGCTCGGGCCTCTTTAGTTCCGCCCTTGACTGGGAGATCTTGCTCTTTCTTTTTCTTCTCCGCGCTCTCCTGCGCCTTGCGGACAGAGTAGTACTTCAGGAAGCAGATGATCATGACTGTACGAGATTAGTATTAAAACTTGAGACGGAGTGTAAGGAAGGTATAGAATGTGACTCACAGGCACTAGTAGCAACGGCCATAGCAGCTCTCCTGGTTAGAATCCAGCGCAGGCCCTCAATTTCGCTCTTGCCGTCACTGTTCAGAGAGACTGTGATTTTGTAATTTAGTTCCTGTACAGAGGTGTCGATGCTCCGCTGTTGTTCGCGGGTCGTCATCTTGTGATCGTTGAACATTCCCTTGATGTCGTCTTTCAGACCGGCCAGTTCCTGGTTCAAGCGTTGAGATAGAATGTCAGACTCGTGCTGTAGCTGTGTTCGGGACGTCCGCTGACGCTGCATTTCGGAGTTTCTGGCCGTCTGTAAAGAGGATTGGAGTTCCGAGCAAGCTGCTTTGAACAGGTAGGATTCGTTCTCAACGTCCGACTTGGAGGTCAGGCTTTGGCGTGCGAGATCGAGGTTACTGTGTAGGATGGTCCGGACTGCCTTCATGATTGTGACGGATTGTTCTTCGGAGAAGCCGCCTGTGGAGAGGTCGCGAACGAGCGAATATGTATCGAAATGATGAACGTAAGGGGCTGGGGCGAGGTTCGGGTGGTTATTTTCGGAGGCGAGACCGCCGGTTGTAGTCAGGTAGGATGAAGGAGATGGCATGTGAAGTACACCCTCGAGAGGGTTCTGGTTGAGTGGATGGTGAAGATGGATGGATTCCTCGGGGGGTCTTTCGCTTGATATAGCATTGACCTCATCGGCATCACGGGCGTCGAGGATGGGCTCGGAGTCTTCACGGGGCTCTTGTTCTTGTGCGGATTTCTCCTCATCTAGCAGTTCTGTGTCTGCAGAGGCAAACTTGTCTTGTTGCGACTGTGATGAGGCCTCGGAGGTGGTGTCGGTGTCCTTTGGCTGCGATTGCGCTGGTGGGGTTGGGTTCGGAGATGAAGCAGCATTGCTGTCCTTGTCTTTCCCGGATGAAGAGTTGGTGGGCTGTTGACGAGCTGGTTCATCTTTAGGTTTGGAGGGCGGTGGTAGGTTCGCTTCTGCGGCAGGCCCGTATCTTCGATGATAGGTTTCCTGATTTCGTCGTGGACTGGTGTGGAAGGGAGCGTACTGGTTGCGGGATGAAAGGCGAAGAGAACGGTAGGTATGGGGTTCGCAGGATCGAACTGCGCGCATCAGATTTGGGTAAAGGAATGGAAGCCTTGGGGCCGCCATGGTTGCCGCGTTGACAAGGGATTAAGGGGAGAGGAGGAAGAAGGAGCAAGGATGAGAGGTGCAACAAGACAAGGCAGCCGGTCAGGAGAGAAAGAGGGAGATGAACGATGAACGCATCTCGTTTTCCCGCGGCCAAGTCGGCGTCACCGCCGGAAACGTGACGTGGGCGGTGAGTAACCCCCGCGGCCGCTAGGCCCGATCAGGAAGGTTATACATACGCACGCTCATTGGCCGGTCACAGGAGGTATGAAGATGGTATGAACTGGATTGTCCGATGATGATATGGTTATGATCTATATACATTGTTTCATGCCACTGGCAGCCTGTTCAGAGCTCAGATCCCATAGTTAAGAGCCCAAATAATAGCTGGGTCCGTTTCCAGTACTCGCGCGCAGCGTTCTCTAGGTTCTTTGTCGCCTTCGCAGGCAAGTCGAGACTGCTGCGAAGTGTACCCAATACTTCTGTCAACTGGCTGCGCTCAGAGTGTTGAACCGCAAACGCATCATTCAGATAGACGGAATCGAAGTATAGCTGTATCTTCCGGTCCTTGACATCGGCCGCACTGTCTGATTCGATACTTTCAGTTTCTGGCTTCGCCGGGTCGCTATCCTCGCCGTTCCGTGCCGATTCCGTCTCTTCATCATCCTGTGAGGCAGACTTTTTGCTGTCCTCATGATCGACAGGTGAGTTAAGGTTCTCAAGGGAATATTTGATCGCCTTTGAGATCTCATCGAGCATGGCGCTCTTTAGCGTTTGGGTTGTGGAAGCATCCCAAAGCCCGGCGCCGTACTGATCCATAGAACGCACAATTCTACGCAGGTATTTGAACGTCGATGGTGTCGGCTGGACAGGGATTTCGGGATCACCTTCCCAAAGTGTGCGACCTGGCACTTTTCCAGACTTCGATTTCGAAGTAGCCGGAGACTTCCAGGGTCCTGTGCGGGCGACTATGTCAGTAGCAAGAATTTTCTGCAACTCCGGCACAATGCTCTGGGACAGTGCATAATCGCTCGAAATGAACTGGACAGGCAGATCTCTTCGAGCCAGTCGGATAGTCTTCAGCATAAAAGCGGCCTCACCGCTTTGTCCCGGCTTCTCAAGTGTGTCGAAGGTTGTGCTGAGCGAATTTTGGAGTGTTTCGAATGCTTGCTCAATTGCCGCCTGAAGGGCTTCGCGCAGCAGTCGTGGATCGTCGTCGTTCAACATGGCAGGAACATCGATATCAAGATCCTCGTCCTCGCCTTCGTCCAAGACGTCAGCCCAACGTATCTGCCGTAGGCCATCGATAGACTCCCTGGACTCCTCGATGACAGACAACCATCCATGGTATTTCTCAAGGACAGCGGATACGTCATCATCACGGCCCAGGAGTCTGTCCGTGACAGCTTGCTTGAACGCAGCAGAGCCGTTGGAATAGTCAAGGGAAATCAAGTCCTCGGCCCAAAGTGACTGCGAAGCCGTGTGGGCTCTGTCGCCCCAATGCGACACTCCAGAAGCGACGCCTTGACCGAATACATCCAATGTTTTAGCTTGTTCTGACAGAATCCCTCTAAGTCGATCATTAAAAACCGACCTAATTCCCTCCAGAACTTGTAACGATGAATGGGTGGGTGTCGAGCTCCGGGAAGATAGCCAGAGCTCCAATGTCTGCTTGCGTAACGAGAGAAGCTTCGAGAAGTCCAGCCAGTTTGTGAGGGTGCCCCGGCACCCGTCTAAGAATCTATCAAAAGCCGGTTTGGACCATTGCTTGATCGTCTTCTCGGCATCCGACTTCGATAACTCACTAAGCTTGATCCATGGTGTGAAGTTATTAACATCTGCGGCAACCCAGCGTCCCAGAACACCGAGGTCTAGGTCGTCCAAACTCCGAATTTCAGGGTCTGTCAGCAGGGGCCGTGCTTTCAGTTTGCTTAGAACATCAGACAGACGGCGAGATAGCAGGATCTTAGAAGTTTGGAGGGTCCGAACATATAGTCGTAAGCTGTTCAGGACATTCTCGCCTGACGGGTCGACAAGCTCCAACTGGCCTCCAATACCATCTAGGCGAACCTGGTGAAAATAGCGAATAGCGTCATCTGAGGAAGAGCTAGTTGTAAGACAGTACGCTGCCAAGGCCTCAATAATCTCATCAGCCGCATACTTAGCAGACGCGAGACGCTTTTCGAGCCTCCTCAACAGACTTCGCCGAAGGGACGCCAATTGATTGCGCAAGTCCTCCACAAATGGTGGTACCGTTGTCTGCTGGGACAGGGTCTTGTGTAGAAGGCGAGAGATGACCATAAGCTTCGCCACAAGTAAGACGGAGCCGCGTCGTCGCAAAAGCTTGGAGATTGACGATGCGCAGCGATGAAGCAAGGCCAGTTGCCCTCCGAGCGCTCGTTTCGCGGCATCTAGTTCCCATCAGCTGTTGGTTGTAACCAAAGCCAAACTCACGGCAATAACATACCTTCATCATGGCTATCATCCTTTATCTGATTGTAATGTGTGTACATCTTCTCCATCAGGCGTGGATTGCATCTTCGTCCTATGTCGGCCAGCGTCGAATCCACATCCTCCATTTCGCGGTTCATCGACACGATCGTCTCGGCAGTGCCAATAAGTTCTCGGTATCTCGTACTAGATGCGCCATATATGATTAGTCCTGCATATAGATATCATGAGGGTTTGCTTTCACATACCCGACAAGAGCCCTGAGCTTCTCCTTATTGCTTGCGATGTCCCGGCGCAGCTCCTGCTCCACGCGGCGCACAGTAGGAATTGGATAGTGAAATGCATCCTGCCAGGACTTCAATGACTGGGGATCCGGGCCATCAGACGCCATGGTGAAAGGAAAGGACGCTGGCGGGACAAGCCAACAATGCAGGGCATCAATGCCAGCCGGAGCACTGCCTGGAATGATGCTACGCAGCCCGTAATCACTGGATGACGATCTATTGTGCCTGAGGCAGCACGTGGCTTCAATACGGTACGGTCATGCCTGTATCAACGATGCTATTTCGGGTAAGTGACTTGAGTCATCCCCAAAAAAGAAAAAGACCCCGCGGACTTTGCGATCGACGAGATAACTTTTATCTCCATCTTCACCATCACAATCCTCCGAAATTGCGGCGCATAAACCAATATGCCTCATATTGATTCAGACGCGCCAGCTCCGGCGGCCGAAGCTCCTACCGAGCAATTAACAAGACTGCCTTTCCCTCCAGTCACTTATTCTCACATCCTACACTGCTCTTATCACCACTGGCAGCCTCGGTATGTGCCCAGTATAACCCCTCTATACATTAATGAAGGTACTAATTTAAATACATCACCGCAGATACCGCACCCTGGTCCCCAAGTCCCGCGCTATCCGTCTCACTGCCCCCTTCGTTAACTACCTCCGAGCGGACGGTATCGTCCTGCCGCCAGAAGCTGCCCCGCCGACAGACGACGACAACCTCGACACATTCTCCGATGATGGTGCAGACGAGGAGCCCGACCCGTCAGTCGAATGGCCTGAAATCCACAACCAGATCAAATCCACAATCACCGAATACGGCGGTAAAGTGACGCCGAAGCTGAACTGGAGTGCGCCCAAAGATGCGACGTGGATGTCCGCCACCAACGACACGCAATGTCGCACAGCCAACGACATCTACCTCCTCTTGAAAAGCAGTGACTTTATCAGCCATGACCTGGAACACCCATTCGACGACTGCGTTCCTGACACTACCACCACCGACGATTCTTCCTCAACGCCCCCCGAAATCCCCTACTACCTTGTTCTTCGCAAATACGTCAACTTCAACCCCTCGCTCGAGTTCCGGTGCTTCGTGCGCAACAGAGTCCTCCTGTGCATGTGCCAGCGTGATCAGAACCATTTCGACTTCCTCTTCCCCATGCGGGACTCTCTCCGGTCTCGGATCCAGACCTTCTTCGATGAAAAGCTGAAGGATACGTTCACGGACCCTAACTTCGTGTTTGATGTCTATATCCCGCCTCCCCATGACCGGGTGTGGCTTATCGATATCAACCCATGGGCGGAGAGGACCGATTCGCTGCTCTTCAGTTGGATGGAGATTCTGCATATGAAGGATCCCGTGGGTATCCGGGAGGAAGATGACAATGGGGAAGAGCAATTTGTGCGGCTTTCTCTGAATGGAAACGGTGGTCTGGAGGCAGGTGGTGAGCCAGATGAAGGGTCCGAATCCGAGTCCGAGTCCGCGTCCGAAGACGAGAATGTTGATGATGCACCATTGTTCCCAGAGTTCAGGCTAATCAAGCGCGATGACCCGGAGGCGTATGCGTTCACGACCCCGCAGTACTCAGCACACAAGCTGCCCAAGGAAGTGGTCGACGCCTCTATCTCCGGTCCTGGAGGCATGAGCGAGTTTCTGGGGAAATGGCAGGACATTCTGGCGAAGCAGGCGCAGGAGTCCGACTCGGACAATGAAGACCAATAGAGGTTCCAACCATGCATCGATTGTATACTTAGTTACGAACATACCAAAGAGCGCAGCTCAGCATATTAAGGCGGCGTTAGGACTATAGTGAAAGAGGGACAAGGCACTAAAAACCGAATACTAAAAGTGATACTCGCATTAACCTCCTCCACCTCTCTACCTTCTATGCTCCACAAACCATCTATCCCCTATGTACTACGACCACTCACTATATACCCTTCAACCCAACCCAATGTCTCACAACTTATGCTTCTTCTCCCCACTCGCCAACCTCCTAAACTCCTCCTGCGGCACCCCACTAAGAAACCTTTCGAGCCCCCCAAAAACCTCCAACCCATTCTGGCGATCCAGCACCTCCCTCTCGGGCCGTCTAATCAACTCCTTAATCTTGAGCAAACTCTCCTGATTCAAATGCAACCCCAACCTCTCCTCCACCTCCTGCAACACCAGCCCCAAGAACCCCTCACTATCATCGCTCTTCCCACTCGGCGCCGTAAACACCTTATTCACGAACCCAGCCGCCACCAACTCCTCGCACGTAATCCGCTTACTCATTATAAGCGCCTCGTTGGCTTTCGCGATGCCCAGACGCTCCACGAACGCCCGCGACGACCCGCCCTCCGCTACGAGGCCCAGCGAGGCGAATGGCGTGAGAAGGAAGGTGTGCGGCGCGGCGTAGATGAAGTCCGCGAGGGCGATGAGGGCCGCAGAGAGACCGACGGCGGGGCCATTGAGCGCGGCGATGAGGATCTTTGAGTGGTGCGCGAAGGTGTGTGTGATGTCGTAGTTGTTTATTACGAAAGACCGGGCGAGGTCGCGCCGTGCGGAGGTGCCGAGGCCGCCGCCGGGGCGGGAGGAGTTTACGTCCGCGCCGCTGGAGATGGAGGATTAGTATGTACTTGGTATTTGTGGGTATGGGTGGGAGAAAGGGAAAACTTACGCGGAGAAGTAGCGTCCTGAACCTGTGAGGATGGTGATGAAGATGTCATCTCGCTTGTCTACTTCGCGGAGACGTTCGCCGAGGAGGTAGTAGAGGTCTCCGTCTAGGGCATTGAGTTTCTTGGGCCGGTTGAGGGTGATGATTGCCAGACGGCCTTGGTATGTGAGTTTGATGGGGTCTTCGGTGGTAGTGGCCATGTTGAGTTCGGGGTGTTGTGTGCTGTTAGAGAGGGTGTGTAGATAGATAGGGGTGAGTATAGATTGTTTGTTACTAGCGGAGACTCGGAGGGTTTAGAGCCGCTCTAAAGAGAAAGAACCGTTGTGTAACCTTCTCTAAATGCACGCTTGCACGTCAGATGGCCGTAAGGAAAATATTCAGTGAGTGACAGTTCTAAAGAAAAGCAATTCCAGGAGAACCTGCAGTATTATTAGTCCCTGATTATAGAAATAGATAGAGGTGGGTTCTACTAACGGGGATCTGCCATAACCGGCATCAACATTATGCGGGGAAACCCACGGACCGAGGCTTAGGTGCCTCGGCCCACGGCAGGCCGAGTCCTGATGAGTAATTGATGTCACCTGACTTCTAGCACGTGGAACGTTTGCTCTGTTTGCAAGGTGTGGTCGGCATGTCAGAAGCTCCGTGATAATAATCCGTCGTATCGGAACGATCAGCCCAGATAATTTGTCGTCGGTGACGGATCAAGAAGAATTCACACAACTCTGTAGCTCGACATTAGCATACTCAATTCCGGAGCAGCACACTTATTTCAAACCCATACACACCTGTGGAATCAAATACCAAAGCCACACTTACCATCCGATCCCATCCATCCATCCCACCAACAACAGCCCACCATGTCCTCCATCCTCCGCAGACTCCAGGGAGGCAATCTCGAGGTCTTCAAGGTACGCAAAGCACTAATGCCTCATTCCCAAAGGAGGCAGAATCTAACCTCTTCTAGTTCGGCATGTACATCATCTTCCCCATCGGCTGGATGTACTACTTCGGCACGAACCTCGACGACCGCTTCAGCGTCCCCGGCTTCTGGCCCACAACCGAGCAATCGCACAAGATTCCCCTCGAGAAAGAAGAGATTGACCGCGAGTTGTCACGCATGCGCATGTTGGATGCAGTGAAGCGAGAGAAGCGACAGCGGCGCGAGGCATTGGAGGCTGAGGCTCAGGCTCAGGCTCAGGCTCAGATCCAGGCGGCATCTTCGAATGCAGAGTAAACCAACTACTCGGGTAATTTGATGCGGTGCGGTTGTGTTTGATATAGAGATGGGGCTATCAGTGATTCTCTACGCAGAGTAGGAAACGGGAAATACAGTCGCGGATGCGTTCGGAGCCGGCATCTATGTATACCTTGAAACATGCTACACGCGTCCTGTGTGTGGATGTGCGACTAAGAGGGGTAGGGAAGCGATGTTGCACCGTGTCCTACTCGCGAATCTACGGTGGTGGCTCTTTTTTTTGGTTTTGTATAACACTCTTCTCTGAGCATGGCGGGAGTTGCATTTGGGCGATGGGTTTGATGATTGAATTGGGTAACTTCATTTTTTTTTTTTTTGTTTACATATGTTAAACTTATATGTACTTTTAGTCTGGCGCAATGTCAAAGCAAAAGTTTCTGCTCGGCTGAGCATAGCGGTGCAAAACTTTGTAGCATCATAGCATCCTAAAGGATTTGGTGCTATCCTCGGCGTTACTGTCGTGCCCCATACAGAATTATGAGTTTATATGTTATAAGATGTGCAGTCAGTGGAGCCCCAGCGTCCAGTCGCGAAAGTAACAAGAGCAGCAAAGTATGTGATCGTAACAATGATTGCCTCGACAAGGTATAAACAATATGCGTGAGGCAGAGTATGAACCAGGGGAGGAAACAAAACGAAGATGATGGAACTCCTAGGATGCGCCGGCCCGCTCAGAACAGTATCGTTCAAACTCCATGAAACAACTTCACAACGCCGATAGGAACCGTTCGGTGGAGGAGCAGTACGGTGAATCGTGAAATGCTGATGCAATCCATGCTCGAGGACAAGAGAGGCATGCGGTCATAGAGGATGATTAATGGCAGCAATATGCTGATACGAATAGCAAAATGCAAGAAAGCCCCGATGGTATCACAAGGAGAAACAGAGAAGCCAGATGACCCAACCCAGCAGCCCACAATCGTCACCAACACCGAGAAACCAACCCGTATCGCTACTGTAGCGGGGAGATATCACAGTTCAGCGATTGGAGCAGTGGCCGTCGCAGCAGCATTCTTGGCCGTCTCGTACATCACTCCTAGAGTCTGGGTACTGGTCTCCCGGAATACGGAGCTGATTGATGGAAGGCTTGCAGAGATAAACGGACGCTCGCCGGCCCAGTAGTAGTAAAGGTGACTATAAATGGATCGGATATGATCGGGAAGGTAGACGTAGATGCCGGTTACAATCATTGAGAGGAGAGTGAGGAGAAGGGAATCTAGAACGTTCTTTGTTAGCACCATGCGGCTTTAATGCAAGAAATGCAAGCTCGAAACTTGCGGCCAGGTTCCAACCGGGGGAACGTACTAAAAATGAACTTTTCGGTAGGCGTAAGCATGTACACGGCGAAGGTCACCTCATATTGATATATCTTCAAGCGCACCCAGCGCATGAAGGAGTTCAGGATCCACAAGAGAGTCATGGTGGAGAGAGGCGGGTTTTTTCTTGAAAGGATTGAACGAAAGGGGGACCGCCCGCGAGCCAGGAGGTCAACGAAAGTGACAAGCGGAGAAAAGCGCAGAATCCAACGGTGATGAGGGGTGAAATTAGCTCCTGCCCTGGTAGTCCTTTGGAGTATTATCGCAGTCGCCCACGGTGATGAGGCAATTTGTCCAAGCGCGCTGGGAAGGGGGGGGAGGAATATTAGAAAGACGGGGATAATTTGGAAGTTCAACTAGGCATCCATGATCTGTCCAGTCGGTTGTTGATGGGAGAAAAGATCAAGTACTAAGCCGGCAGGTCACAGAGGGGGAAAAAGAAAATAAAGAATAATAGGGAAAAATTATATAAAACCCAACACGATGTGGGTTGATCGACAGAGAGCTGGTCAGTCCAGTCGGTGAAAGGGACGAAAGAGGAGAAATTTGGCCGGAGGCTGTGATGGGGAGAGAAAAGTAGAACAGTGAATTAGCCCCCCATGTGAAGAAGCTCAGATAAGTCCAGGGGAACAGGAATGGGGAAGAATAGGCAGGAAGGCCACCTCAACTAAGAATAGCTTCACAGCCGGACGGAACAGACAGTCATATAATTTAAAGTGAATAGTTAACGAATACGAGTTAGTTAGGCCAGCGCCCCCGTCAAGTCCATGCTTGCGATCTGGACACTGTTTCAAATCGGCCGCAGAGACTAAGTCAAATCAATCCACCGCCACGGAAGAGAACCAAACCAGGTCCACTTTTTCCTCCCCTCAGGGTCCAGCCGAAGGATTGCAGCGTGCAAAGTTTCAGACTCTCTCTCCCGCAGCCAGTGCGAAGGGCTCAAGCATCCAATTCACTGGAACAAATGCCTGCCTGCCTTCCCTTCATGGGGAGGATTTTCCCGTGCGATCTGACCCTGATTGGCGTGTGGTGATGGCTGTCGTCCGCGCATCCACTGGGCGGCGTACGTCACCCTCTCCGCTCGGTCAGGCCTATCAAGCAGATTCAGGGTGAGAAAGGGTGAGACAAATCCAATCCTCCATCTTGGTTGGAAACCAGAGAGTCAGTTCCGATGGAAGAAGAGGGGGAGAAAGCGGTTGTGTTCCTACTACCCAGTGGGGGGTAGTGCAGCAGAAAGAGATATTATAAAGTCGTTAACTGTGGTTACAGCTCGGATAAACAGCAATTTACCTCAGTTGACGGTGTTTCCGCTTAGTCAGTATTCTTCAAGCCACACGATGCTGTACTAATTGCCTTAGTCACCGACCAAATGATGGTAACAATGGTATGGTTTTGTAAAACGGGTCCAGATCCAGCGATGATTTCTCGTGCCGCGGGCATCTTAGTAGTTAGTACTAGCAAGCAGCAGCAGCCGCCGCCGCCGCCGCCGCCAATTACCAGCCAGCTTCATGTAATACTAATCAAGCAATGAGCCTACGCTGAGTACTCCAGATGGAATTTAGTAGTAGGCGCCTCAGATCACCATGTTCCGTCCCCTCCACTTGACCCCCTACATCACACGCCCCTTTCTCAAATCCAATTACCTCCCGACCCCGAGGTTCTTCACCCTCTCTGCGCTCTCCCTCGCCGACAAAGCATTACCTCCCCGCCTGAAGATCCAAGATGCCGACGTGACAGTCTCATACCTCAAGGGTACTGGCCCTGGAGGCCAAAAGATTGTATGCCAACCAGATATTTCCTTCCACTCTTACTTGGCTGTCTGAACTTATCTAACTTGCTTCTCCTTTCAATGCCTAGAATAAAACCAACTCTGCCGTCCAGATCATACACAAACCAACGGGCGTAGTGGTCAAATCTCAAGCCACACGATCCCGTTCCCAGAATGAGAAGATAGCTCGTCAGCTGCTTGCTGACAAGGTGGAAGAGCTCCTACATGGGGACCAAAGTCGCGCGGCCATCAAGGCCGACCGCGCGAGGAAAAAGAAGGCCAGTAAAATGAAGAAGAGCCGGCGCAAGTATCGTGAGCTCGAAGATGGCAAGGAGAGTCAAGAGGCAGAAGAGGACGATGCACAGGAGTCCGCTGATTCAAAGCACGAATCGGAAGTAGAAGGAGCAGACATACAGAGTCCCCATCAACTGGCAGCCCAACAAAATCTACAGCAGGAGCATGTCCCGGACAGCGCGCGGAGCCAGAGGTAAATGATCTTCTGCATCGCGTGCGCCACCGTTTTACATTCGCACACTAAAGCAAGGCACGCTGTCGCTCTCCAAACGTAGTTAAACTTACATAAAACGGGAACAAACTAGTACTTGGGAAATCGACTACGAGGAAGTTGAGGCATATCAGTGTCATCTAAGTGTAATTCAATTCATAAGGACATGCAATAGAGCGGTTGAAGCTAGTCAACACTTTCTCCATGATTTCTTTTTGGCAAAATGCAAAGACGGTCGAGTTATCAGACATAGGATTTTATACATCCCAGTAAATAGTGCACCTGGCCCCATTAGCCTGCTCATGCGATATAACTAAGCAGCACTGTCTTCGCCTCGGCTCCCAGACGCTCCTGGACAAAGCCAGAAATACGTCCGTTGTGCTTCTTGTCCGCTTCCTTCAGATACTTGCCAGTCCAGGCCTTCAGGTCGGCGCCCGTGTCTGGCCAAGGGTCCCTGGTCTGTGGTCGCACAGTGTTCAGCGCTGTGAAACCAACACCGAATGCCATATCCTCCACATCGTGTTCGGCGATGATGTCATCCTTGCTGGCAGGGAGAGGAGGCAGCTCCAGAAGCTTGAGAAGAGCCTCACATGTGAAGCCCCATCCTTTCTTGTACCGGTTCGCAAAGGCTTCCGAGTTAGCAAGAGTTTTAGTAAACGATAGCACTGCGGTCTTGCGGTCCAACGGACGAGCGAGCTTTTGTGTTTCGGGAAGGATGATATTCAGATAGATGGGAGTGAACAGCCTGGAGGCAGTTAGCATGCTAGCTCCCACGCTTGGATTGGATTTTACGTACTCGGGCTGGACCTTATCCATCACTTGGATGACGAAGTCGGCACTGTAGCCCTTGTCATCCTGGGCAGAGACAAAATGATAGAAACGGACGAATCGGAGGGTCAGGTTCTCCGTCTTGGAATTCTGGAGGCGAGTAAGGATGATCTGCATGATTGAAACAAAGTATTGTTCCAGTGTTGCTCTGGAAGATAGTTAGTAAATTAATGCATCGACAATCACACCGGGGCTTCACATACGGAGGGAAGTTTGCAACCACAGACTCCAACAGGTCGAATCCATAACCTTCATTGGCCTTGGTCGAGAGTAGCTTCTGGAAGATACCCAGAACAGGAGCAATTTGCTCATTCTGGATGATGTATTGAGATCCGCGGTGGATGATGCTCGACAAAAGTCGCACAAGCGCAGGGATGTTGCCCTTCGACTCCCACATGACAGGCATAAGGATCGGGGCAATCAGGTTCTGGTAGTAGTCAGGTAGTGTTCCTGAGGGGTTCGCCTCAAGAAGTGCAGCAAAGAGTTGGAAAACGTAAGGCATGAACTCTGATCATATGTTAGCCATGGCTCGTAGTGCCATTCCCTATGGTTTACAACTGACCTTGCACATCCCCTTGGAGGATCTCTGCGAAAGGAGCGTAAAGAGCTTGTTCGAGTTTGTCGGGGTTGGCAGGGGCCGCAAACCTAGAATCCATTGGTTAGTGACTGTAGTTTCGAGCAATCGCTGGTAATCACGTACCGGATAAAAGCTCCGAGCGCTTCAAAGTGGAAATAGTAGAACCTGGGGTTGCTTGGGTTGCTGCTGATGATTTTCGTGATAGCGATCAGGTGCTGAAGGACACTGTCGGTGTGCGGCACAATGCCCTCCTTGATGACGATCAGAACTCTCATGGCACATCTCATCAGGAACTCGTTCTCCTGCACTTTCTGAGGGGCCTGGTCCTTTTGGATTAAGGAGAAGATGTGTTCCAACAAGTCCTTAGACAGCGGTGTAATAGTAGCGGGGGAAATGATCGGTTGGCCCTGGCTATCGGTGAGGTAGAGGACACGCTCCACGGCGATAGCCGCATAACTGTAAACGACATATTCCGAGGAGCCGAGGTGCTTAACCAACATAGGAAGAACTTCCTGCCACTGCTCCTTTGTGATAATGCTTCGGAAAAGGTAGAGGTACTTGATGGCGTCGACCTTGAGAATGGGGTGTACACCCTCATCATTAATCAAATCAGCCGCAAGGTGCTTCTGGAAGAAATCGGTAATGCTAATGAGTTTGTTCGTAGCAGTCACACCGTGGCTTGACGTAGCAGTTCCCTTCGCTGCAATCGCAGAGAAGAGATAGGTTGCAGTGTCCTTGGCCTTCCAGTTAGCGGCGGGAGCCTTGGCGTATTCAGAAAGGTAGTGCTCGGTGTATCTGAGAACAACTCTCGTCACGGACTCCTCAAATCTCTCAGCAAGCCGTCTCAGGAAGTCGGTTGCGGCACGTCGTCTGGTATCGCTGTCTGAGCCTTCCAGGTCGCGACGGATGAACTCAATAGGCTCATCCTCGAAAAGCTCCTCGTCAGATTCACGCAAGCTGACATTAGGCAGAATGACCTTCTCGATGATCTGGCCGAGGGTGTCTTCGGCCTGGAATACAGCCGCATGTTCGGTCATGCCCGCAATCGAAGTCAAGAATTGCAGAGCCCTGCTGACCAGAATGTCGTACTTGGTTTCTTGACCGATAAGTGTCAAGAAGCTCCACGAGCTTTCCACGAATTGTCCAATGTGAGGCTTGAACTCATCCATGTACTTTTGCACGTACAGAGTCAAGACTTGGAAAATTCCAGCACGCGCAAATTCCAGCTGTCCTGCTTCGGTATCGTCATCGGTGTGCAGGAGTTGGTTATCGTAAGTCAGATACTTGAGCAAAAGCGAGGCTATCCCTGAAATATTTTCTTCGAACATCGGAGGAAGATCGTGGCAAGAAAGGTCATACATCAATTTGATCATCAAATTGAGTTGCGTGAATCCCTGAACAAGATTTTCTTTGTTGGATTTGTTCTCCTCAAGGTAGGCATCCAAGCCCTATAAGGAAGTCAGTTTGCTGTCAGAAATCCTTGGCCTCGTAATGGCCCATGTTTTAGAATACAATGCAACTTACCTCGAAGAGAGCCAAGAAAGGACTGCCGAATCTTTCGAGAACATGATTAATTTCCAGGTACAGCTGATCCGACCGGAAAAGGGGTCTCCATCTCTTGAAAATGGAATGTGCGACTTGGAGTACGCCGTTGTTGACAGCGGGGTTGTTCGGCTGGAGTCTAGAAACAAGATCCTGGGGACGTCAATTGACCGCGCACAAGCCGAAAACATGACACCTCTCTAACTTACATCCACAAGTGTATCCCATCGCTCCCAGAAGTCACTGTCGGCGATAACGCTAACAGCTTCTCCCAGTTGTGTTTGGATGCCCGTGGGGACGGAGATCATCAGGCTGATCAGCTCCCGCTTGATGGTAGTTACCTCCTCCGCTTGGAGCTTGTAGTTTCCATCTTCATCAGTCCAGTTCCTCTTAATAAAGTTCTTGAAGCATAATGCGCTAGCCAAACGGGTGTTGTAAGGATAGGACGCGGAAGCCGTGATCTGGAGAAGCTGCAGAGAGTAGTTCGGTTTTTTTTCCTCCTGGCGAAGAGCAAGTTCGGCTGGTTCACAATTAGTTAAGGATGCTTTGATTAATGCAATGTAAAAATCAAAGCTTGCAAATGGCTCGGAAGTGAGTATTCGAGGCAATAGGGTGACAGAATTTACTGACCTTGCTTGTTCTGCCTGGGATCCAAGCTTGCCTCGAGGAGCTGCGCAACAGCCCCAAGACCATCAGCCATTTTGAAGCGGGGATGTTACCAAGAAGCCAAGGGAGCGGCGCAGGTGGAATATGTGGGAAAGTGGTACAAATTAAGGGGTAAAGGCAGGTTGTTGAAGAAGAATAAAGGGAAAAGCTTGCAGAGCTAGGACGGGTTACTCTAGAGAAAGAACCCAAGGGTATATTAAAGAATGGCTCCAGTAAAAGCCGGGTGGAAGCTCGATTCCTGGACTGGCAGTTTGTTTGGCGGTTGCTTTGCAAAATCCAGGCGGTGAGCGGCGGTCGCGGGGTGATTCTGCCCATCAGGTGACCGGGTGCGGATCAAAGCCTTGCCGACCTCCGCCAGATCATCATCATCGCTGCTCGGAGGGGAAAAGTGGCTTGGCGCACTTTTGCTCTGATTATATCTCCAAGTATCAACTTAGCTTCCCTGTCTCTTTGTTCTCTCGGCTGTGTTTGTTCGGCAGCATTCCTTTGTTTGCCTGAAATTGGAATACATGCTTTGACCGATCTTCCAACCCCGGTTGCCCGACTACTAGTTGCCCACTGATATGCCGCTGGGACCAGCTCTCCGAGTGTAACAATCGGTAAAAGCCTCATATATACGCCTTTGCGGATCTTTCACGTCCCTGATCCATTCATATGACCTGCCAATGGTATGTGAGATTTTGCGTAAAGTGGACCGCCGATGTAGAGCTGGTCAGTTCCAGCTGACCGGTGACCTTCCGTGGCCTCTAGTCACAATCCCGTCGCTGACCGGTCATCGGACAGATATAATAATCCTCTGCCCTGAAGAAACCCATACGCACCCCCTCGTCCGCTGGGACGCATGTCTTCTGACGATGCTCAATCCCCGTACTATACCAAGCACGCAGCATCAAGTTTTGTCGACGTACTCAAGTCACTAAGCATCTCCCGCCCAAAGTCACCTTCTCCAATCTCGCTCCACGATAGCAGTGATTCTTTATCGCATTCATCGGATGGACGCAGAATCAGTCGGACTGTACTGGGATTTGACTCAATGCATCGTGGCAGCGTCGTATCCAGTTCTTCCGACACCTCTGGTGCACGGGATTTCGATACCGCAGTCCGAACGTTGGCTCAGAGGCAGTCTCTAAGCCACGCTGTAGACGAGGCGGAACAAATATCAAAGTCACTCCAGTGGTTCACTCCGGAACAGTCGCTTGCTCTCTGGGAAGCAGGGGCGTATCTCTTCCACCATGAAAGTTCACCTGAAGCTCGACGGAGTGGTTCGATGTTGTTGGAAGCGGTTGCGGCACGGCAAGACCTGTCGCCAGCAGCGCGGCGCATCGTCTTCGATTCGATAGCAAAGCCATCAGACAATGATGTTGTTCCCGCGCGTGTCCAGTCTCTGATAGCCCTATCGGATCATGGCCGGAAGTTGGAGTTTGCAGCCTCGTCCATTCTTCCTGTGATATCAGCTTGCTTGTTGCCATTATACGAATTAGTTTCATCTGCGCGGTTGAAAGCCAGGAAAACCAAAGTCGGCAAAACAAA